TTGGAGCTATGATTTCATAACAACCTTTATTTAATTCATCTCTCTAATATTTATCACCTCTTTAATTTCCTTAACCCAAAACACAATAATAATCAGGTGGTACTTAATTCTTCATTTTACAAATGTTGCAAATATAAGTATTCCCTCCTTCACCAAATTAAAAGAAAGGACTAACATAAGCCTTACATCTCTAACAACGCAATGGTTCATTTGTAAATTCTACTTAAGGTATTTCTGATTCAAAAACAGATGGTTCCATTAATGGTTGTACAACTATACCAAAGGGAATCTCTGTTTATTATAAAATAGATGGTTCATTTCCTATTGCATACACTGAACTTCTCATATATCTTGGTCCACAATTTCCTTCATCAAATGTCTAATAAAATTAATGCACTTATGGAGGATGATATAAAGGTGCTGGAGCTGTAGAGAACCTCTTATAAATATTAATAATTACTATTAGCACATTATAGATTCTTCTGACTTTATGTATGGTCTTGGAATTTGATCAACATCAATTTTTGATGATTTTCGCTGCTACTCTACTTATTATGGGTTAAAATTTTATTATGGTTGATATTGTTATTATTTTGGATATTACTATTGGCCTACATATTATTATTATGCATTGTATTATTATTAATGATTTTCATTTTATGGTTATTAGTATGCATTTACTTATCTTTGTTGAACAGGAGCTTATTACACAGGTTGCTCAGGTTCTCGAGTGATTGGCTATTACTGTTGAGTTCTTCTCAAATGAGGTGGCAATCTACGTTCTTCCATTATTGAACACGTAAAATTATTAATTAAATTTAATTATTTCATAAGTTATTTATAAGCTCATTCTTTAAATTCTTTTGATAATCAGTTTGAAACTTTAGCAGAGTTAGTTGCTATTTTAGATAAAAAAATGTACATAATGCCTTTTATCCTTATTTATCAATATCTTTGTGTTATTTTGGATCGTATGGCCTCCTAGCTATAAGTTTCTAAGGGATTTTCAAGATTACTTTCTTGTCCAAAGTGAACTTTTAATCCATAGATATTAACTTAGAAGATTGATAATATCTTCTACTCACCAAAATCATTAATTATAGGTAGATTGAATTCATTAGGGATTATATGTTAAAAAAGCAAGACTTTTTCTTGATGTCTTTCAGGTTAAAATATATATATGCTCTAATAGGACCTTCTCATATCTAAAGAAAAAAATGTCCAAAAATTTTTTTTTTAATTAAATTTGTGAGAAACTGGATCGAAAGAAGAATCTTTTATGGGATATGTACTAATTAACAATTAATTAATTTTTGTAAAATATCTAGAGTGCAATCTCCAATACATTTTTTATCTGAACAAATATCTGGATCATTAATAATTAATCTAACTAATCCTCTATAATCATATTCCATTTCAGGTAATAAAACAGCATTTTTATACCAAAATTCACAACTATATGATTCTATTTAAGCTTTATTATCTATGAGTTTTTAATTGAGTTTGTCTTTTTTTATATCCATGTCTTACCAATTTGTTGAATCATCATAGAATTAGGCTATGTAAAATCTTCAGCTTATTATGGAGATATTGGTAATCTGATGCATTTTATGTATCATTTCAACAACTTATTGAAAATCGCTAATGACGCTACCAGAACCTAGGAAAATTCTAGGACCGAAATACCAACCATGAAATGCTTATTGCTAAATTCACTTACTCCTAAAACAAAATTTGCATCTCCAGTAAGTACCTAATAAGTAACATCTAAGGTAAGGAAATGGTTTTTATAGTTCTTTAAACAGTATCATTCAATAAAACTATTTATTTTTTAGGCAGCATAAACATAAGTTCAATGCTTTCATCAACAGCGTTTGGATTTAGAGGGATCATATTTACTGAATTAAAAATTACTTTTTAAAAGGAATGCTGCTAAAATTTTATTTACTAATTCACTCTTATCATAAAATTATTTTATATTTGAAAATCCAACAATTAAATGCTGTATTTTATAGCCTCCTCACTTACATGAATAATTTGTTGTTGTTCTTCTATTTTAGGAACGTTGTGTTTGCCAATCAAAACATCAAACTTCTTTTTTATTAATATATTATCTGAATCGTATCCTTATTTTTCATTTTCTATAATAAACCCTATTTTGTGACAATATATGATCCTGGTCCCAAATTTTAACCAATTGTTGTTATTTATCCATTGAATGATGCGTAATACTTTCCTACATTACCTAATATGAATTACAAATAATCATTTAATAATGAATGCCTAACATCCATCTAAACTCCCGAAGTTGTTTCTTTATAATAGGGGAATCTCATTGTATGTCCTTTTATTTTTGAGATTAACTTAAAACTGAATTAAACATAACGCAATTCGCTTTTTGATCCAATTAATAAGGAATGCCTCTAGCAACAATATTTGATTTAGCAATGACATCAGGAGTTCCAGAATGATTTAATAGCTTCTTCATTATGAGCCTTCTATAGGCTTATTACAATTTGATGAGATCAGTCTCTACTTTAAAGGCACCAACTTCAACACTGATAACCAAAGTTTTAATCTGAACTATAATTTATATAAATTATTATTTCTCTTAAATAAGTACAAAATAAAAATGTTTAACCTCTTTTTTTCTGAACTCATTTCCTGTATAAGTATACTTTAAATATTTTATAGGTTTTTCTTAATTATTAGCAGAATCCATAACAAAATATATATCCATTGATCAAAATATTCTCCATATGATTCATCATGAAAAATCAATTTATATTCCTATTTATTTTGATTATAAGTAATAAAATTAAAAGCTTGATCTCCTCTGGCAATTCTTAATGTTTCCTCGTTTTTACCATCTAAATCATTTAATCTTTGTTAAACCATAGTAATAAGATGAGTTACTTTACCAGTAATCTACTATCATTTTCATAACCAAAATAGGCCTAACTCCATAAAATCTTTTGAACTTTCTAAAGTCTTTAATAGAAATGCTTATCCTTTTCCCTTATTTTCTTAAATTGTGTAAGTATTAAAAGATAAAGTAATTTTTGCTTCTCCTAGTCTTTTTCATTCATTTTGTGGCCAAAGGATTCCAGTATAAATTAAAAAATGTATGAATCAAATTTTTTTACAAAGTTAAAATAATTTTTTATTAGCTATTGAATAACTAAGTCCTAAAAAATAAAACTTTAAATAATATACTCCTTAGAGATTAATTATAGTAATATTAAGAAATAATGGCTAAGAGAACTGGAATAATATATAAAATGATAATAAAATTCGTTTAAAATATTTCATTTTTTTTATTTTTGAGTATATGATCCAATTTTTTTAAATTATTATTATGTTTTTTCTTTTTGCTAGGCAGCTAATGATTAAGTTGGATTTTAAATAGATATTTACGAAGCATTTTAACTTTGGTTGACCTTAATAATAATTAAAAAATAATACTGATGATACTTCTAGTTACCGATTACTCTTTTGCGTGCTGTAGCTTGTATTTTAACCACTTTTTTTTTTATCGTCGCTTTGTTAGGAAAATTTTTATTGAGCAGCGCTAATAAATTATTGAATTTTATACTATTTAGATTACTATGGTTAAGGGCTAGCAACAGTTTTGATAGTAGAGCTACGGGAATTAGACCCTCTAACTAATTATTAAGAAGGAGGAGGTGAAGAAACGATTATTGAAGTGGATGGAGCTTATGCAGATCTAACGGGTTAACCAGATTTAATTTAAGTTTATGATTTTTATTATGATTGGTCTTTTTATGGAGTAATAACAATTGAGTTTCTAAAGTTTAGTTGTTTTGGTAAAATCTATGATTGAGACTTAACTAAAGTTCTAGATCCTTTTTCATCAGGACTCAACTCTATAGGTTCTGCTTATTAACCTTACTCTGGAATATGCTCCATGGCTTAGATTTTATTTTCAGTAAGCATCTAATTATATTTTATGATATCATCCTCATTGAACTCTATTATAGTTTTTAGCCTATGTTCGTTTAAAGCAGAGAATGCACATTAAGTTCCATAATTTTTAATTAATCTAATTGCTTTTGAAAATCTCTAATACTTTTAACTAAAATATACATAGATATATTTACTTTATAAAGCTAAATTCATCAAATCCAATCTTTAACTTATTTAAAATCATTTTTTGGAGTAGTCTTTTTATAATTTTGATACCAACTATTGAATTAGAACTCATATTATAGTCTTAGTCTGAGAAAGGACTAGAAGAACTTCTATTGTTTTTATCCGATCCAACTCTATTCCTCAAGATATCTTATTGAGAATTTTTTTTATTATGATCCTTTCTTTCTAATTGTTTCAAAAACATTTTATCAGTTTCTGATATATCAGAAATGTTAGTTCTATTAATTATTGCTTAATCATCCATAAATTATTCATTATTTTATTATTAACCTTTATTAGTTCCTGAAGTTTTATTTTGCTATTCGTTGACATTCATTAAAGATTTAGATTTAGTCAATTATGTTTATTCAATAGCTTAAATTAGAGATAGCTATGAACAGCTAGATTTACTTTTGTTTAGATTTGGTTCTTAATATTTAGGGATTCTTAATTAAACATTAGTATTTTCATTTGACAATATAACTTTCACATAATTTCCATCCCTATTTTTAGTAAATTCATTATTTTTATAAAATGACAAAGATCTATTCGATACTTTAATTCTTCGAACTAAAATTTAATCTTAACCTAATTATTCTTTTAAATCTTCTCCAAAAACCAATTCTTCATCTTTAAATTATTTTCTTGTAATAATAATTTTTTATTTATTCGCCTTTCCTTCTTTTACCACCTCTTCAATCATTTAAAAAGTTTCATTTTTACTCAAAATTCGTGACCAAATATTGTTACTTGATTCATACCAACCTTTTTTCATTAGATCTTATGGAGAATTTGATTCTACTGTTTATCTACTCAATATAACAACATCCTCTTCTTATTCATATAAATCTTCTCCAATCTCTAGATCTTAATCAGCTTAAATCTGTTTTCTTTGTAATCGTCTTTCTATTTTTTTAGTTTAAGTATTATAAATTAAAATTTCTTCTTCTAAAGTTTTCTATATTTATAACTTTCTTTTATCTCCTGAATTGACTAGAAGTTTATCAATTCTAGATCCATCGAATTCTGATACTCTTATTCCTTAACTATTTAATTCTTCATTCGATCTATATTATGAATCTCTTTACTCTTAACTGTCTTCATCGATTTAATACATTGATCTTTTAATGTTTACATTTGCATGTTATTTAAAATATTCCTTAGGAGCATCAGTAATCTTTTTCCAACTCTATAAACTGTCAATCTCAAATTAATTTATAACTTTTCTTTATCTTATTATAAAACCATTTGGTTGTTTTTCATTTAAATTTTTCCCAATCTAAACTTCAGTAATATTAACTTATTTTTAAATAGCAAACAATTCCGTTTATCCTGATTTTTAATTTGTTATTTCAACAATCTCCTCTACAAATTAATATGGATTGTAATCCAAATCAAGATTGGTAACGATCCTTCTGCTTATAATTTGATTACCCTCAGAATCCTGTTCTTTTAATCTTTTACCAATTTATTTATTAACATTATAAGGAAATTTTAATAAAATTATTTCAGTTTCATTTGTTTTAGGATTTAATATTTAATGTTCTTCTTCAAAATATTAAGAATCTTAATTAATTATTTATTGAGATAATATTGTATTGGTTGTTGGCTAATCTCCTACTTTCTTTAGAATTCCTGTCTTATCTTTAACCCAACCTTCTTATTTAAGCGCAGTTAGCGTTTAATTATTTTAAACAACTTTTCTTGATAAAACAAAACCTCCATCCTTTCTTTCAACTTTGGCTTCTCCATAAATGAAAGGCCTTCTTTCAATAATTAATTTTTATTGTCCATCTTTATCAGTGAGTAAAACTTCCTCTTCTACATACTATTCCGGTTCCTGTTCTGTCAACTACATTATTAAAGTTCCATTTTTTTATTTAACCCATCCTTTGTTTGAATTATTTTCAACAATTTTTCTAGATAAAATTGTATTTCCTAAAGGATCAACTTCTTAAATCTAATCTCCCATAACAAGGTTATCTTATATTTGTCTCCTTAAAAGTTTTCTTTCTAATTAACCTGTTTCTTTGTTGAAGCTTAAAATTTCTTCTTCTATATATTTTGTTGGCTCAGAAGATGCCACTATTTTTTCCATTAAGCCTTCCTTATTTGTTATCCATCCTTCTTTCTTTTTGGCTTCTGAAGAGATATTGTTTTGAACAAGTTTTCTGGAAACAACTTTATAGCCTTAACACTATTCTTCTATTTCATCACCAAATTAGATTTTTTTATCTACATTATATGGCTTTCTTATTAATTTTCTCTCTTATTTTCCTGTATTTTGGTTGATTATTAGAATTTCTTCCTCAATAAATTATTCTGGTTCTGAGAAACTAACTAATCTAGTTAGCTTACCTTATTCAACTTTCCATCCTTCTTTTTATTATGATTAAACTGGAGATAAATTATCGATTATTTTTCTTGATAAAACTTATCTACCCTCGTTATCTAATTCAGATAAAGAGTCTCCTAATTTAAGATTATGTGAATTAGGGGATAAAGGCCTTCTTATTATTTTTCTCTCAAGTTATTAAGTTTATTTATTCATAACTAATACTTCTTCTTCTATATATTTAGTTGGTTCGGCTAGACAAACTGTTTATTCCTAAATTCCATCTTATTTTTACTACCAACCTTATTAATTTAACATATCAGAAGAAAATTAATTTTGTATTATCCTTCTAGAAATAATTTTCTCTCCATCTAATCCTTACTCGTTTATGCCTTCTCCATAATTAATATTTTCATCAATTTTAAAAATTGGTTTTCTAACTAATTTTCTTTCTTGTTTGCCTGTTTTAGGGTTAATTATAATTATCTCTTCTTCAATAAATTGTTCAGGCTCTTCTTATGATATAATTTTTTCAAGAGTGCCATTTTATCCTTTTATCCAGTCTTTTTACATTTAATTAAGTGATTAAGAATTATCTACTATTTTTCTTGATAAAATTCGATTTCCATCCTTATCTACTTCATTCAAGTTATTTCCAATTTGTGAATTTTCTTTAGTTAATGGTCTCCTGACTAATTTTCTTTATAATCCATTTTCTCCATAACAAAGAACTTCCTCCTCAACATATTTAGTTGGTTCACTTTAAGCTAATAAAATTTCCATTTGTCCTTATTTTTGTTACCAATCTTTCATTTAATCCATTGGTTAATCATTGGCGATTATTCTTCTAGCAACCACTTTTTTAGTGCCGTCACTTTCTTGAAGATTTTCCCCAATTTCCCCAATTTCTCTTACATCAGATTGAGTTAAAGGTCTTCTTGTTAATTTTCTTTCTTATCGCTAAGTTTTTGGATTAATAATAATTATCTCTTCTTCAATATAAGCTTCAGGTTCTTACTCTGAAATTACTTTTTCTAAAGCACCATTATTTGATTAAGTCCATGTTTAATCCATTGGTTTGTTATTTTAGACAATCTTTCTTGAGACAACTTTATTTCCATTTTAGTCTTATTCTATGACAGCTCCAGTTTGTAGTTTACTATCTTATGGTAAGTAAGGTCTTCTCACAAGTTTTCTTTAGACAATTCCATCTTCTCCTTAAATAATTATTTCTTCCTCCACATATTTTGCAGGTTCAGGTTAAAATCGTATTTCCAAGTTTCCATCACTATTTTTTACCCAACCTTGTTGTTTCAATGATTAATTTGATTGATCATTTTAAACAATTTTTCTTGAAATAATTTGTCTACCATTCCCTAAATCTTGTTCCAAATTTTATCCCATTTGTAAATTATCAATTTCATCATTATTTAAAGGTTTTCTAACAATTTTTCTCTCTAGTTTTCCTGTTTTTGGATTTATTTGTATAATCTCCTCCTCAATAAATTATTCTGGTTCTTCTGAATTTAGGATGATTTCTTCTTATTTTCCAACATTCTACCATTATTATTTTGCTATTTTAGGTTAAAGATTGGATTCTAATTTGCGTGAAAGCACTTTATTTCCATTCTTATCTACTTCATTTAATTACTCTCCTTCTTGAATTTTCCCTCCTAAATAAGGTTTTCTTATTAATTTTCTTTCCATCATTCCTGTTTCATTGTTAAATTATAACACTTCTTCAGTAATATATTATGAAGGCTCCACTCCTAAAGATTATTCGTAATTTCCGTCACTGTTTTTCTTCCAATTTGATGATGCTAGCGATAAATCATTATCAACAATTTTTCTAGAAACCACATAATAGCCTTCACCTAATTATTCTAAAAGCTATTCTCCTTCTTCTATATTTTCATCATCATCATTTAAAGGTCTTCTAATTATTTTTCTCTCTTACTTGCCTCCTTACTTAACTATAACTATTTCTTCTTCTATGTATTAAGTTGGTTCATGAATTGATAATGTTTTTTCATAATTACCCTGATTACGTTTCCATCCTTCTTTCTCTACTTACTATGTTGATGATATATTTTCAATAATTCTTCTTGCAAGAATCTTATTTCCATTTTAATCTGTTTCTTACAAATTATTTCCCACATTCGAACCTGGCTAATATTATTTTCTTACTAGTTTTCTTTCCATCTTACCTGTCTGCTCATTCATTACTAGAACTTCTTCTTCTATAAATTTGGCTGGTTCATTTTATACTATTAATTTTTCTAATTATCCAGTTTTTTAATTTTTCTGCCATTCACTTAGAGAACTATCATTTTAAACTATTCTTCTAGCTACAATCTTTTGGTTATTGCCTATGGATTCATTCAATTAGTCTCCCACCTCTTCTTCATTCTCATAGGGACGTCTTATTAATTTTCTTTCTTGTTTGCCTGTTTTAGGGTTAATTATAATTATCTCTTCTTCAATAAATTGTTCAGGCTCTTCTTATGATATAATTTTTTCAAGAGTGCCATTTTATCCTTTTATCCAGTCTTTTTACATTTAATTAAGTGATTAAGAATTATCTACTATTTTTCTTGATAAAATTCGATTTCCATCCTTATCTACTTCATTCAAGTTATTTCCAATTTGTGAATTTTCTTTAGTTAATGGTCTCCTGACTAATTTTCTTTATAATCCATTTTCTCCATAACAAAGAACTTCCTCCTCAACATATTTAGTTGGTTCACTTTAAGCTAATAAAATTTCCATTTGTCCTTATTTTTGTTACCAATCTTTCATTTAATCCATTGGTTAATCATTGGCGATTATTCTTCTAGCAACCACTTTTTTAGTGCCGTCACTTTCTTGAAGATTTTCCCCAATTTCCCCAATTTCTCTTACATCAGATTGAGTTAAAGGTCTTCTTGTTAATTTTCTTTCTTATCGCTAAGTTTTTGGATTAATAATAATTATCTCTTCTTCAATATAAGCTTCAGGTTCTTACTCTGAAATTACTTTTTCTAAAGCACCATTATTTGATTAAGTCCATGTTTAATCCATTGGTTTGTTATTTTAGACAATCTTTCTTGAGACAACTTTATTTCCATTTTAGTCTTATTCTATGACAGCTCCAGTTTGTAGTTTACTATCTTATGGTAAGTAAGGTCTTCTCACAAGTTTTCTTTAGACAATTCCATCTTCTCCTTAAATAATTATTTCTTCCTCCACATATTTTGCAGGTTCAGGTTAAAATCGTATTTCCAAGTTTCCATCACTATTTTTTACCCAACCTTGTTGTTTCAATGATTAATTTGATTGATCATTTTAAACAATTTTTCTTGAAATAATTTGTCTACCATTCCCTAAATCTTGTTCCAAATTTTATCCCATTTGTAAATTATCAATTTCATCATTATTTAAAGGTTTTCTAACAATTTTTCTCTCTAGTTTTCCTGTTTTTGGATTTATTTGTATAATCTCCTCCTCAATAAATTATTCTGGTTCTTCTGAATTTAGGATGATTTCTTCTTATTTTCCAACATTCTACCATTATTATTTTGCTATTTTAGGTTAAAGATTGGATTCTAATTTGCGTGAAAGCACTTTATTTCCATTCTTATCTACTTCATTTAATTACTCTCCTTCTTGAATTTTCCCTCCTAAATAAGGTTTTCTTATTAATTTTCTTTCCATCATTCCTGTTTCATTGTTAAATTATAACACTTCTTCAGTAATATATTATGAAGGCTCCACTCCTAAAGATTATTCGTAATTTCCGTCACTGTTTTTCTTCCAATTTGATGATGCTAGCGATAAATCATTATCAACAATTTTTCTAGAAACCACATAATAGCCTTCACCTAATTATTCTAAAAGCTATTCTCCTTCTTCTATATTTTCATCATCATCATTTAAAGGTCTTCTAATTATTTTTCTCTCTTACTTGCCTCCTTACTTAACTATAACTATTTCTTCTTCTATGTATTAAGTTGGTTCATGAATTGATAATGTTTTTTCATAATTACCCTGATTACGTTTCCATCCTTCTTTCTCTACTTACTATGTTGATGATATATTTTCAATAATTCTTCTTGCAAGAATCTTATTTCCATTTTAATCTGTTTCTTACAAATTATTTCCCACATTCGAACCTGGCTAATATTATTTTCTTACTAGTTTTCTTTCCATCTTACCTGTCTGCTCATTCATTACTAGAACTTCTTCTTCTATAAATTTGGCTGGTTCATTTTATACTATTAATTTTTCTAATTATCCAGTTTTTTAATTTTTCTGCCATTCACTTAGAGAACTATCATTTTAAACTATTCTTCTAGCTACAATCTTTTGGTTATTGCCTATGGATTCATTCAATTAGTCTCCCACCTCTTCTTCATTCTCATAGGGACGTCTTATTAATTTTCTTTCTTGTTTGCCTGTTTTAGGGTTAATTATAATTATCTCTTCTTCAATAAATTGTTCAGGCTCTTCTTATGATATAATTTTTTCAAGAGTGCCATTTTATCCTTTTATCCAGTCTTTTTACATTTAATTAAGTGATTAAGAATTATCTACTATTTTTCTTGATAAAATTCGATTTCCATCCTTATCTACTTCATTCAAGTTATTTCCAATTTGTGAATTTTCTTTAGTTAATGGTCTCCTGACTAATTTTCTTTATAATCCATTTTCTCCATAACAAAGAACTTCCTCCTCAACATATTTAGTTGGTTCACTTTAAGCTAATAAAATTTCCATTTGTCCTTATTTTTGTTACCAATCTTTCATTTAATCCATTGGTTAATCATTGGCGATTATTCTTCTAGCAACCACTTTTTTAGTGCCGTCACTTTCTTGAAGATTTTCCCCAATTTCCCCAATTTCTCTTACATCAGATTGAGTTAAAGGTCTTCTTGTTAATTTTCTTTCTTATCGCTAAGTTTTTGGATTAATAATAATTATCTCTTCTTCAATATAAGCTTCAGGTTCTTACTCTGAAATTACTTTTTCTAAAGCACCATTATTTGATTAAGTCCATGTTTAATCCATTGGTTTGTTATTTTAGACAATCTTTCTTGAGACAACTTTATTTCCATTTTAGTCTTATTCTATGACAGCTCCAGTTTGTAGTTTACTATCTTATGGTAAGTAAGGTCTTCTCACAAGTTTTCTTTAGACAATTCCATCTTCTCCTTAAATAATTATTTCTTCCTCCACATATTTTGCAGGTTCAGGTTAAAATCGTATTTCCAAGTTTCCATCACTATTTTTTACCCAACCTTGTTGTTTCAATGATTAATTTGATTGATCATTTTAAACAATTTTTCTTGAAATAATTTGTCTACCATTCCCTAAATCTTGTTCCAAATTTTATCCCATTTGTAAATTATCAATTTCATCATTATTTAAAGGTTTTCTAACAATTTTTCTCTCTAGTTTTCCTGTTTTTGGATTTATTTGTATAATCTCCTCCTCAATAAATTATTCTGGTTCTTCTGAATTTAGGATGATTTCTTCTTATTTTCCAACATTCTACCATTATTATTTTGCTATTTTAGGTTAAAGATTGGATTCTAATTTGCGTGAAAGCACTTTATTTCCATTCTTATCTACTTCATTTAATTACTCTCCTTCTTGAATTTTCCCTCCTAAATAAGGTTTTCTTATTAATTTTCTTTCCATCATTCCTGTTTCATTGTTAAATTATAACACTTCTTCAGTAATATATTATGAAGGCTCCACTCCTAAAGATTATTCGTAATTTCCGTCACTGTTTTTCTTCCAATTTGATGATGCTAGCGATAAATCATTATCAACAATTTTTCTAGAAACCACATAATAGCCTTCACCTAATTATTCTAAAAGCTATTCTCCTTCTTCTATATTTTCATCATCATCATTTAAAGGTCTTCTAATTATTTTTCTCTCTTACTTGCCTCCTTACTTAACTATAACTATTTCTTCTTCTATGTATTAAGTTGGTTCATGAATTGATAATGTTTTTTCATAATTACCCTGATTACGTTTCCATCCTTCTTTCTCTACTTACTATGTTGATGATATATTTTCAATAATTCTTCTTGCAAGAATCTTATTTCCATTTTAATCTGTTTCTTACAAATTATTTCCCACATTCGAACCTGGCTAATATTATTTTCTTACTAGTTTTCTTTCCATCTTACCTGTCTGCTCATTCATTACTAGAACTTCTTCTTCTATAAATTTGGCTGGTTCATTTTATACTATTAATTTTTCTAATTATCCAGTTTTTTAATTTTTCTGCCATTCACTTAGAGAACTATCATTTTAAACTATTCTTCTAGCTACAATCTTTTGGTTATTGCCTATGGATTCATTCAATTAGTCTCCCACCTCTTCTTCATTCTCATAGGGACGTCTTATTAATTTTCTTTCTTGTTTGCCTGTTTTAGGGTTAATTATAATTATCTCTTCTTCAATAAATTGTTCAGGCTCTTCTTATGATATAATTTTTTCAAGAGTGCCATTTTATCCTTTTATCCAGTCTTTTTACATTTAATTAAGTGATTAAGAATTATCTACTATTTTTCTTGATAAAATTCGANCCTCAGACAAAACCTTTTCAAAATTTTTTCCATTTAATTACCAATTTTTAAAGGAACTTGAATTTTCGATAATTTTTCTTGATAATACAATGTTTCCATTTTTATCTACTTCCTTTAAATTATTTCCTACTTTACCTTTGAGCTAATCAATTGGTCTCCTAACTAATTTTCTTATTATTTTCCCATTCTTATCTTTTACAATAACTTCCTCTTCTACATATTAAGTTGGTTCAGCTTGTGAAATTTATAATTCATAATTGCCTTCACAATTTTTCAACCATTCTTATCCTTATTATTTTTTTTCATCCTTTTCTACGATTCTTCTTGCAACTATTTTCATTCCCTCCTCACCATCTTCGTCTAATTCCTCGCTTATTTCTTGTAATTAATCATCAAAGATAGGTCTTCTTATCAATTTTCGGTCCTATTTTTTTGTTACTGGATTATAAATCAAAATTTCCTCTTCTACAAACTATTCTGGTTCTTGTTCTGATATTACTTTTTCTAAAAGACCTGCTGAAGTGGCTTACCATCCATCCTATAACATAATTTACTGAGATTATGAACCATCAATTATTCTTCTAGAAAGAACTTTCATTCCGTTTTACTATTTATCTTATTGCTCATAATTATCTTTATATGGTTTTCTTATTAACAGTCTTTCAACCTTTCCAGTTTCTTAATTAAATCTTAATATTTCTTCTTCCACAAGTTTAATTTTAGAATTTTTTTATTCTATATCTTTTGTCTTATTTAAATTTTATTTTACTTAATCTGGTTAAAATTTTTGAACCAAAATTTTTTAGCTTTTTTCTAACTACTGAATTTAGATTTATTCTATTCCAATATTTCTTTCAAGCCTTTTCATATTATCTAAGTTCCATCCATCTGCTTTCATTTAAGTTAATGATTCATTATTTTCAACTAATCTTCTATTTTCGACTATTTCACCATTTGGCTATTCCTCATTAATACCTTCTCCTATTGTAAGCATTTCTGGTGTTTTTCTAACTTACTTTCGAATGATACAATTTCCATCATATATTTTGATATCTTCTTCTAAATATTGAATAGGTTCATTTTTTGATATAACTTTTCTATATTTATTATTGTTGGTTAACTCCCAAGTTTGATCAATAATTCCATTTATGATTCTGCTTGCAATTAAGATTTAGTCTTTAGTTCTGACTGTATATAAATTTTCATCATTTAAATATGTAGAAGAGTCGGAGAAAATAATTTCTCTAACTAAAATTCTATCTTATTTCTGTCTATTTCTAATTAGGATTTCTTCTTCAAAGAATTTAGTGGTTTCATCGAATCTTTATATTGTTGGAGAAGACATAACAGGAGATGCATTTGATGGATTTGTGAATTGTTTTTTTTGTCCTTTTATTCTACTTTAAAGATAATTGGGTTCTTTATCTTAAGTTCCAGTTTCTCCAACTGATAAATCATCAGCAATACTTTATCTTTTTTTAGAAGTAGCATCTTCAAATATATCTTCAGATAAGTTAGACTACTTTTTTAAACCTTCTAATTATGATCTTACTGTTTCCATTTATTTATTTAATTCTTAATCGTAAGATCTTTCCTTATGAATAAATTCTTAAATCTTTTCTTTCTCTGTACTGTTAGCTCTTGGATTTATTTCTTTAATCATTTATCTTATGTCTTAAGCTGAACTACTTCTGTTTGAATATACTCTTTCTCTGAATTCAAATACAATTTATGGATAACTATACACAGAATTAATTGTAAGTTGAACATCTTAGATCAAAAGTCTCATTAAATTGGCTTTTTTTACTGGAGATTTTGTTCTGCTTTCAGTATAGTTTACAAAGGAACGAGCTAGAGGTTGCTACATATTTGGAGTACGAGAAAGATATGATTTAGGGAGAACTGCTGATTGTTTTAAAGGTGTTATTACTGATTTATTAGATTTTAAAATTATTGGCTAAGGAGAATAAAATATTCTTGATTTTTGTTAAGGTATCACAACTTTACTTGGAGTACGATTTACTTAATGATTAATTATCGAGAGTTTTAATTAAGTCTCTTATTTATGAGTCTCAGATATTGAATATTATTATTAATAAACTTGAATTGAAGATATACCTTTCTTTTGAGTACCATCAATAAAACGTTCTCTATCAACTACAAAACCTTAAATTGAGTTTAATGTGAATTTAATTATATTTTAAGGTGAAATTGCTGAAAGTAAACTTTTTTCTACATTTTCATATCTAATTTATTCATAAAGAACCTTCATTTCTATTTATTCATTTTGAAAAAGATTAGCCTTATCTATTTTTATAAATTGTTATAATTCAGTTAGACAAAAAAGATGTGTATCATTTTATGTAACATTATGAATTTTCAATCGAATATCCAACTTTTTAATTAATAGTTCACTTAAAATAAGTAAATATAGCTCATTTTTATCTAAATAATGTGGTTTATTTTGTTACTTGTGACCAGAAATGAATATCTATCGTTAGGCAAAATCTCAGAAATAACCAGATGTTCATTAGTAAATTGTTTGAATTTTTAAATAGCCCATCTCTGATTGCTGTAAAAACTTGATTTAAAAGAATCAGATAATAAAAATATATTAGAAGATCCTAAATTTTAAGTACAATGTAAAAATACCATCAATAAGTAAAATGTAATCCTTTCCAGCACAAACTTTATTAATTTTTATGGTTAGTGTGTTAACAATATAAGGTGTTTCTGAATTACCAATCGGTGTTTGTCCCCATGTCCACAATTTTCCTGAATAATCAAGACCGCATGCAAGATGAGAGGAAAGCGACACCTGCTTAAAATCAGTTCCAATTCTACTAGGAATAGGTAAAAAGTATATCTTTGAAATTCCAAGAGTGCCAAAATGATTTTTATCTTCTCCAAAAGAATACACTTACCCAGAATACGAAAGTGCAAGAGTCACGTTCTTGTTTGTTGTGATATACCTTATTTTTTCATTCTTGAAAGGTAGCTAATAAAAGGAAAGCTCATAGCTGATATAATATAGGCACCCTGTTTCAGAGAGTATCTAAAATGAATTTTAGGAAAAGCCTTTACAAATTTATCTGACTTTACCGAACTATCCTAACACATTGAATGGTTTATATGTATTCTAATTACTAAGGAAATTTTACCTACTCATCATCATAGATATATAGTATATCATTCATTTTTTAATTAAATTAAGTTGTAATGGAAAAATTGGAAAAAGCTGCAAATGGTCTTGATTTTTACAAGAATCACCATGATACTCAACTATAGAACTTAAATTATGAATCTCCTATTTCAGATTTCAAAGGACCAGTGGAAACAGAATTATGATTGTGAGCAGACTAAATTTGCATTATGTTTTTTGCTTATTTTCTTGACAAAGCAATTAGCGGAGAAAAATACCTGAATACCATAATCTAGGTAAATTGAAATCTAAAACTGGAATCAAAAATCATTTCTTATTATGATATTGATGAATATAAAATTTTGGAAGAAGAATGTTGCGATAACAAATATACTAAATCTTATTTAAATTACTGTATGCTATTTGGAATTAGGATAAGAAAAAATAAAATTGAAAAGAAAGTAAATACTTTATAATAAAATACTTAAATGAATCTCGATTTTAGAAGGAATAATATTTCTAATCATTCTATTAGAAAAAATTATTCTTTAAAAAAGAGGATAGGAATTGATATATGGTATTTATAATAGGGTTTTGTTGCTTTTGTGTTTTAGTCTAAATATTGGATGTATATTATTTTCCTTGTCAAAAAAAAGATTTCCATTCAGGCAATTGATTACGATGAATATACATTAACAATAGAAAATTTTCATATATAAAAATATATGTGAGAGAACTTTTGATTGGCGGGGCATAATCTATTTTATTTTGAGAAAGAAACTCACACTGTTTATTTAGGGAACTGTATTTTTTATTAATTATTTTGAATTATTGATAGATTTGCTATAGATATTAAATAGCCATTTAACTGTTTATTATATAAACTATTAATGTTATTTTGATAGGCTTGCAAATCACAAAACTTTTAATCTATAATTGTGATGTTTGTAAGATGATGATTTTTGATCTGAAAATAGAAGAATAATTATATATGGCCAATATAGATTTTCCGATTAAGATTTGCTTGTATTTAATAAATATTGTAAAGAAAAGCAGAAATCGATGCTTTTGGTAATTATTTAAGGAAAGATAAATGCAATAATGAATGAATAAGAAGATACAAACAAGGCTTTGAGATAATTTGATTTAGGGAACTTGATGGAACAAGATAAGTAAAGAGGCTGAGAAATCAGTAATTTCAGAACTAAAAATAGAGGGAACTTAAGAAAAATCTTTAAAAGCGATCTTGATGAGGATGATTTTAAAAAATGCAATGAATTAGATTTAAATGGGTTTAGAGATATTTACAATAGAATAATTATAAAGTAATATGGTAAGTTCAAAAAATAATTAGAAGAGAATGTTTTGAATTGAAATAAAATAGAAATAATAAGAAGATGAAGGTAAAAAGAGAAAGAAAAGAAGAATTTGATTTATAATTAAATATTTTATATGGGATCTTAAAGTAGTAAATTAGTAACAGAAACATAAAGACACGAACATGCTATAAATTATATGAATTCTGGAGGGTAAATTCAATTCTAAATTTAGATCTATGAGCGACAAATCTGCAAAAAGTATAAAGGATATCGAACAAACATAATAAGAATTTGTTAATACATAATTTAAATGGAATTTTGGGGGACAAAAAGTATTTGTTGCAGGCACCTTCTCCTAATGGAAGACAACTCATTAATTATAGAGAGATAAAGGAGGAGAGTTTAACATTGTGATACCTTTACCGAAAGGGATTCATCATTATAAATTTATTGTAGATGGTGATTGGAGATTTTCTCCAGATGATCCCACAACTGCAGATGAGCATGGCAATATTAATAATGTCATTGATACAACTAAAGTTGAAAATAAAGCCAAAGATTTTATGGAATCAAGTTAATAATTTAAACCAGAAAAATCACCAAATGACTCTGTTATTTAGAATCAAAAATAAGTTATTTAAGATTTTAACTTTAATGATAAAGCTCCTCCTGTTCCTCCTCATTTACTCAAATACTACTATATAGAAGTAACATTTAAATACAAATCAATAGGAAAAAGAGAAAAAGCTTAACAATATGTGGAATAAAGATATTAGACCACAAGGTTAAATGGAACTTGAAGATGCAAAACCTTCAATATCTTAATAAGAAATATTTGATCATCTTATTTAGATTTTCAGTAATGTTAATTCTTTGTCTCCTCCACCACATGTAAATTTAAATCATTTAGCATGTTTAACTACCAACAAAAACAGCCCTTTTAGTGTATATGCATTAACTCATAGATTTAAAGCCAAGCATACAACAATTAAATTTTACACTCATAAATATTAAGAAAACAAGCAATAACTTTTTGTTGTGTGAAAAATTATAAAACAATATCAATAATTTATTCATATTTTCTTTTTTTGAAAAAGTAAGTTTTTATCTATAAAGCTTCTCGTTTCAAGATATTCCTTAATTTTTAATGTATTGCACCTTAAAAATATAAATCTTAGATAGAATGATTATGTGATTATTAATAAATTTTTTAAAGAATCTTCTAATTTATTAATATAATTAGAAATAAAATTTTGAAGAATTTTATACTAGTTTATTGTACTTTTTTTTCTGAAATATTTGACATTTTTTGGTATTATATGTCTCTTATTTTGAATCTATATCAACTTAATTGAATATAATTATAGGTATATTATTATACAGAAAATAAAGAGAATCTTTTTATAATCTATTAATTTAAATGAGAATCTATTTTTATATTAAAATAAAATTATTTTTAATATTCGTATTCTAAAATAATTATGAAAATAAGGTTCATTTAAATAATTAAATAAATTAGACTATTTCCATGAAAAATATAGTTTTATTAAAAAATAGTTTTGTAATTTTAATTATTTAATTCAAACAAAACCAATAACCTAAATTTTATTAAATATATCAGAGAAAGAGAATTATTAAATAAAATAGTATCAACATTAAGTTAATTAAAGGATAGTATAATTAAACAAAATTGAAGATTACAGATATCATTTAAAGATCTTTTATTTTATTGATTTTAATTTAATATTTTTTTAAAAATTCAATAATAACAATGTTATCAAAAAAAGATTAAATTAGAAAGTTAATTGATAATTAGTTTTATTAGGGCAATGTTATGTCTATAAAATAAACTCTAATGGTAAATAATGAAAGCTATGAAAATGAATTTTTATAAAAGCCTCCCTCATATTAATTTTAATATTTATAATTGGACAGAGGAAAACTATAATCAGTAATATATATTGACTAATAAGATTAATGCAAAAGAATCAAGTAGAACAAAATTAAGAAATAATTCTGTTAGCAATTAAAAGAATGAAAATGAAATAAATTTAATTTAATAGTTGAAGCTTAAAATTAGCAAATTATAATCATTGCTTCAAGATCTGTTTAGCCTTTTAAAATAAAATGAAAAAGATCATAATGGGCTTATTACTGAATTGCATCAGAGATTTATTTCTATAATTAAAAATAATAATGAAACCTAACCTATGAATTAATTGAATTTTTATAAACAAAATGGATAAATTTATGGTTTATCGACAAATGATTTAAATGATTGTAATTTAACTAAAGAAACATAGAATGTTAATGAAAATATTAAAGAAATATCAATATTTCATTATTAGGGAATTTGTAAAATGATAAAATTATTGACTTTTAATCATCAATCATTTCTCTTTGGTGAAATCTAAGAAGACAAAATACTTTAAGAGAAATAATTTTTATTAACATAAAATTAAAGTTTCAAATCAATATTTTTCGATTAAGGGGAATCTAATTAATTGACAGGTTTTCTAGAATTAAATTCTACATTTTCTATTGATAGTATTCAACAATAAGGAAGAATTACAGATGAATTTAATTAAGAATACGAGCTTCATGATATAAATATGTTAACAAATTAAGGAAACATAGTTGGAGCCTAGGGTATCTATAGAAAAGATATTGATTCTGAAATATAATTATTAGAAGGGAAGCCATTCATAAACTCTTCTTATTTGAATTCAGAAATAAATGATTGCCCTTATGAAATTTAAAGATAATTATATGAATTTGAAGTTCATTAAAATAAAGAAAATTTAACAATAGATAAAATAACTTTAAAGTACTCAATTATAAGTAATATTTTGATGATAATTTTTAATAGATAAATTAAATTAAAATAAAACTAAACTTTAAATTGAAATAGGAAAACTAAAAGATACAAATTATCAAATTTTGAAAAATTAAGTGTAAAAAGGAAAAAATTTATCTATAACATATTCAAATGTAAATGATTAAAATAGTCTAACTAATATCGAATTGATTTGACTTTATACATATGATTTTATTAAATATCCCTCTAAAATCAACAAAATACTATTTAATTTAATTAATATTTATAAATATGAGCACAGTTTAAGAAAGGTTTGATCTTATTTAGAAATTTATCAAATCACCTGGTACAGGAGGGAAAGAGTTAGATAATTCATAAAAATTGTAGCTTTATGCTCTATTTAAACAAGTATCATAAATTTTTATTTTTAGATTTCTGAAGGGCCTTGCAAAGGTTCAGCTCCAAGCAAATTAAAAGTAGTGGAGAGAGCTAAATATGATGCTTGGAAAAAGCTAGGAAACATTTCTAAAGAAAAAGCTCAGGAACAATACATAAAAGTAATTGAAAGTGTTTGGCCAAAATGGAATGAAAAAGCAAAACTTTGATCAATAACACATATAAATTTAAAACATAGGATGTTGTCATAAAATTTAATTTCTTTTTCAAATAAATAATTATTGTTTAATGACTAATATACTTCAATTTTACCATGAAATACTAAAAATTTATATTTCCCTAGAAGAATAGAAAAACATATATAATCAATAAAACAACTTTATTTATTAAAACCTAATTCAATCAATTCGATTAACCATAAAACTAAAAGAGAGTCAAAGTTAGATTGATTTGAAAGTTTATTTTCTTCAATTTTTTAATCAAATCATGATTCCTCAAAAAAATACATAAAAGAAAAACACTTAAATTTTCATCCCCTTCTAATGATTTTGCTGCAAAGTTATAAAAAATTATAATAATTTACAATACATATAAACCTATATTTACTTGCTCATAAGTTGTAAAATAAAATTTTTTTTTTATCTAAAATTCCTATTTTACTCAAAGAAAATTATATAATTATTTTTTTCTTTTTTAGTAATCTTTATAAGAAGATAAGAATTTTTATCTTGGAAAAAAAATATTTTAGAGTTTGAAAAGTATCAATTGTTTGATTGAAAATTTTTTTATGGATATTTATTTTAATTTTTAACAATCCAAAATTAGAGAATTAAGTAAAAGAAATGCATCAAAATTAACAGGAAATCAATTTGAATATTCTAAAATAATACTATTTAAAAGAATATTTTCATAAAATCAAAAATATTATGAAAAATTTGTTTTCTAATTGTAGATAAAACCTTACTAATTTATTTGATTAGTAATTTTTAATTGAAAAACTTGAATATTAAAATGCGTATAATAAATGTTTTTGTTATTCTTTATTTCAAATTAATTCAACAGAGTCTAATATGACTTTGCTTTCCTTATTTGCCACACTAAGGAAAAGGCTTAAATCACTAACGTATGCTTTTGCCATTCTTGAGACATCCTTTTGAATCACAATGTAGCCTTTTGATTAAATAAAATATTTACTTTAAGTTGGAATATTATTTTCAACATATTCAACAGCTTATCTGCCTTTAAGAGTTCTGCTTAAAGCTTGTTTTGCACAATACCAATTAATATCATGAATTTCTGCTCCAGCTAAATTCATTGCCCAAGTTTATTTATTTTCTTTTTCTTTTTAATAACATTTTACATCTAACAGGATATGCCTTAAAAATTCTTTAATAATATGGGACTGGCCATTATGATGTTGACATCACTCTATCTACAATTGGTCTTTCATGAATTGGTCCCCACAATGCTCCAGAAAAGCGTGCCACAGATTTACTATTAGCTATACGAATCATTTTAATTATTTATATAAATTAATTGTTATAAATATTTTTTCAATCAAATCAGTTCTACTTTATATTAATGAAATAATTAATCCAATTGTTAAATAGAAAATGAATTAAATTCTATTTTTTGTTTTTTCATACTATTTTAATAAGGACTTATTATATATTNCATATAAACCTATATTTACTTGCTCATAAGTTGTAAAATAAAATTTTTTTTTTATCTAAAATTCCTATTTTACTCAAAGAAAATTATATAATTATTTTTTTCTTTTTTAGTAATCTTTATAAGAAGATAAGAATTTTTATCTTGGAAAAAAAATATTTTAGAGTTTGAAAAGTATCAATTGTTTGATTGAAAATTTTTTTATGGATATTTATTTTAATTTTTAACAATCCAAAATTAGAGAATTAAGTAAAAGAAATGCATCAAAATTAACAGGAAATCAATTTGAATATTCTAAAATAATACTATTTAAAAGAATATTTTCATAAAATCAAAAATATTATGAAAAATTTGTTTTCTAATTGTAGATAAAACCTTACTAATTTATTTGATTAGTAATTTTTAATTGAAAAACTTGAATATTAAAATGCGTATAATAAATGTTTTTGTTATTCTTTATTTCAAATTAATTCAACAGAGTCTAATATGACTTTGCTTTCCTTATTTGCCACACTAAGGAAAAGGCTTAAATCACTAACGTATGCTTTTGCCATTCTTGAGACATCCTTTTGAATCACAATGTAGCCTTTTGATTAAATAAAATATTTACTTTAAGTTGGAATATTATTTTCAACATATTCAACAGCTTATCTGCCTTTAAGAGTTCTGCTTAAAGCTTGTTTTGCACAATACCAATTAATATCATGAATTTCTGCTCCAGCTAAATTCATTGCCCAAGTTTATTTATTTTCTTTTTCTTTTTAATAACATTTTACATCTAACAGGATATGCCTTAAAAATTCTTTAATAATATGGGACTGGCCATTATGATGTTGACATCACTCTATCTACAATTGGTCTTTCATGAATTGGTCCCCACAATGCTCCAGAAAAGCGTGCCACAGATTTACTATTAGCTATACGAATCATTTTAATTATTTATATAAATTAATTGTTATAAATATTTTTTCAATCAAATCAGTTCTACTTTATATTAATGAAATAATTAATCCAATTGTTAAATAGAAAATGAATTAAATTCTATTTTTTGTTTTTTCATACTATTTTAATAAGGACTTATTATATATTAGGTGAAATATAAAAATTAATCAATTAATTTAATTATTAAGGATATGTTTATCAAGATTAAATTAATTTAATTTATCTTTCTTAATATTTATCTTTGGGGTCATAAATTAATATCATTCATATTTTTATTTAATATAGTCTCATAAACCATAATTTTGAATATAAATATTAAGCTATCAAAATATATAAATTATTAGTTAATATTCTATATATTTTTAATTCATAATTTTAATCTTACAAACTTATTTTTTTAGGATTTTATTAATATAGTCATTTTGACCTATTTTTGTTTTTTAATTATTTATTGAAAATAGCGAGTAAAAAAAAATCTTTGTAAGTTAGTGCAATTATTAAATAAATTAAATTTGAATAGATTTTTTATTACTACTCTATTTTATAACAAATATATATCACTGATCATAATAATCTGTAATTGATATTTATAATATTTGTTTGAAGTTTTTAATTTTTATATTTATTATAACCAAAAAATAGTTATCTTGATGTTTAATAAAAAGAAGGCTAATATAAAATTTATTAGTGATAAAAAATTCTGTGAATCCATTAAAAAAAATGTAATTGAAAACATGACTGATGAAGGATTTTCTTTAAAGATTCCTGAAAAAACTTAGAAAGTATCAAATAATCTTATCAATAGAGTGAAAAAACAACTACAATAAAGCTTACAACATAGCAATCAGAGCCTATCTTAAAATAAATTACTTCATTAATAAAATAATAAAAAACAAGCGATAAGAAATAACTTCCAAATTCAGCTGAAGTAACAAAATGTTACGAAGATAATTCTTCACTTATACAACAATTAATGTAAGAAAATATTAAACTAAAAAAATAAAACTTAATCAAAGATTCAATCATAAATAAATTGATAACAAAGAACGACATATCAAAAGTTAATCAATAGAAAGGAAGCACATCTTAAACTGAAAGACAATGTAATAAGTTACAACATAATAAGTATGAATATTACAAATATTTAGTTAGAAGAATGCCTGTAAAAGTATGGAAGAATTATCCTCTTTAGGATTTACATTTTGTAACACAGAGTAAAAAAATAATAATTAAGAATGTGAATAATTCTCAATAAAATCTTAAAAAAGTCCGATAAAATTACCAAAAGAATTTTAGATAATAACAAAAAAAAGTCAAAATAAGTTTTTTATTTGAGTTTTTGATTAGATGATTGATTGATTTCAATGATGAGTAGTTAATAAAAATAAAATATAATATATAAATTAAAATAATAAGATGGGGTCGTGTTGTGCAAACACTACATAGGAGAAAGATTCTTTTACTGCTATAACAGCTCCAATATAATAAATAAGCAATGAAAATTTAGAAGTTAAGGAACCTTTAAAAATAAAGGAATCGAATGAAACTCCAAGTTCACCAAGAAGATCAGAAAAAAACGATGTATCAGTTGAGATTAAAATATAGCACAGGAAGAGAATTATGTGAGCATTAAGAGTTATAGAGGAAAGTTAATAGAGAACACTAATGTATATATGCATTCTTTTAATAGTATAGATATTTGATGAATAATGTTCACTTGCTCTAACAATATATAATTCTTTAGGTATTTATGTTAAGAATTAAAGGTCCATTTCCATTTCCAATAATAAAAGATCAGACACTTACTTATGCTGGTCCAGTTCAAATTGATGAAGGGTAAGAGTAAAAATAGATGTTAGATCAATTTATATGGGATAATGGTCAGATGGTAAAAGACATGGATTTGGAAAATAGTTATATAATTATGGATCAATATATGAAGGAGAATGGTATAATGATTAATAGTAGGGATATGGGAGAATTGTGCTTTCTAATGGAGATTAGTAAGATATTAATTGTAAAAATAAGTTATGAAGGATAATGGAAGAATGATAGGGCATGGGGAAAAGGAAAATATGTAACAATAGATGGAACTACATATAATGGAGATTGGGTAGATGATAAATAATAAGGAGTAAATTATGATATATTTATAATGAGAGAGGAGTTGAGGAATGGAAAAATGGTTAAAGATATGAAGGCAATTATTTAAATGGATAAAAAACTGGTTATGGAATATTTTATTGGCCAGATGATTCTAAATATGAAGGAGGATTATTAGATGGAATGCCACATGGAAATGGTGAATATACTTGGAAAGATGGCAAAAAAGTATTATGATAAATTAATATTAGTATAAAGGAGAATGGATGTTTAATTAAATGCATGGATATGGAGTTTATATTTGGCCTGATGGAAAAACATATAAAGGAAATGTAATTAATTTTAATACTATTATTAGTTTGAAAAAGATTAAAGAGAAGGTTATGGAGAATTAGATTGGGCAGATGGTAGAATTTATAAAGGTAATTGGAAATAAGGTAAATAACATGGAGAAGGATCATTTATTTATAAAAATAAAATAAGAAAAGGAGTATGGTAAAATGGATAACCAACTAAATGGGGTCAAAGTGAAATATTATCATCATAATGACATACTATTCAAATTTATATTAATTCTCAAATCAATTTCCATATTAAATAATTAATTAAGCGAATTCCATTTTTCATAGTATGGGTAATTGTGGATGTTTGAAGAGAAATGATAAAGAATTTGATGATTTTGAATAACAACCAATTTAGTAAACTCAAAATTAAGAAAATTCAGAATAATAGAAACCCACAATATAATTAAGTACACATTCTGTTCCTTAAAGACTTAAAATTAAAGAAACTGTGAATTTAAGAAAATCTCAAACTATTGAAGGTGAAAAGAAACTTAATGATTATATATTGAAATAAGTATTAGGATAAGGTACATTTGGAAAAGTGAGATTAGCTGAAAAAAATTTATAAAACTATGCAATTAAAATACTCAATAAAAGTAGACTTAAAAAGTAGAGAGAATATTATACTGATTCAAATGGAGGTTATTTCTTTTTTTAATCATATTAGTTGTAAAAATTAAGAATGCTTTTTAAAATGTAGCTAAGGAGATAGCTATAATGAAGAAGTTACGTCATCCTAATATTATACGCTTATATGAAATTATAGATTCACCTAATTCAAATAAAATGTATATGGGTATTCTCTGCTTTTATTATAAAAGTAATGGAATACGCTTAAAATGGTTAATTAATTGATTGGGATGAAGATTTAGGATAATTTGTTTTAACTAATCAAGATTTTTAAATTACAGAAGATAAATTGAGACTTATTTGTAGAGATATTATTAAAGGAATATACTAAAGTAAATATAATATATTATATTATTATTAGTGCATGAATTAGGAATAGTTCACAGAGATCTTAAACCTTAAAACATTTTATTTGATTTAAAGTTTAGAGCTAAGATTTGTGATTTTGGAGTTTCTTAAATCATTAATGGTGATACAGAACATTATGGTACTAATGGTACTTATTTATTTTTGGCTCCTGAGTGCTTTGAAAATGGGTAATTTGATAGAAAAGCTGCAGATATTTGGGCATTTGGAATTACAATATATTCATTTGCTTTTTTAAGAGTACCTTTTAATGGAGTTGAAATTTAAGAAATTATGGATTCAATTTTATAAAATGAGTAAACTTCTATTATATTAATAGAATTTAATATCCTAATTGTAGAATGGAATTTTAAAATTTTCTTTAAAAATGTTTAAATAAAGATCCTAATCAAAGAGCTTCAATAAAAGAATTAGCAAGAGATCCTTGGATAAATGAAGGTCAGTAGATTTAATTAAATGATGAGATTGAATAGAAACTTATTAATATAGAAGTTAATGAGGTAGAAGTTTAAGAGGCATATTCATTAGCTACATTTATTTTAATAAAAAATTGGGTTGCTAAATTAAAAAATTAATGATGATAATTTTTTAAATTATATTTAAAGCATCAAATATTTGTAATAATAAAAAAGATGTAGAGAATTAAGTTATATAACAATTATGAAAATATTAAAAATCAGGGAAATGGTTTATCTATAAAAAAATAAGGTTTTTAATAATTTTCACTTATTATATCAATTATATTACTAATAACTGAGTTAATTATTAATTAATAATTGTTTAATGTCTTCTAGACCATAGTTATTTTAAGGATTTTATAGCCCAGATGATCTAGTCTATTCATCATATAATAGTGAATCAATTGCTATGATTAAGCCAAGTGAACAAATAAAATCGCTTTTACATGGTCGTTTTCAAAATTGCTCAAAGAATCAAACCGAACCAGAGGAACAAATAGATTCATTAAATTATTAAAACAAAGGGAAACATATTAATTAGGCAAAAGAAATATAGATTTAGAAATCAATTTAATAATTGAAACATAAATTGCAATAACAAGAAAAAGAATATTATAGTAAAGAATTATTACTGTAAGAGTAATTATTACAAGCATAACTTGAACATGATAAATTGATGAGATTGGCAAAATAAAAATATGAGTTGATTATTGATAGTCTAAAATAACAGTTAAAATAAAAGGATGAAGTTATATATGATTTAGGTCTCAAATTGAGAATAGCTTAAACATCTTAACAAAAACCTGATAAAGTAATAATTGGAAAGCATTCAAAAAAATCCTCCCTTATGACTGGTGATGAATTAGATTCAGAAGGGGCTTGCACATAACGAACTTTAAATGTTCCTACACGTTCCTCAACTTCTCAATAATAAAATGATGATAAACTTTTAAGTCTTTATAGACATGAAATTGATAAATTAAAATATTAAACCTTCGAATTTGCATAAAAATTTGAGACTGAAAAAAGAACTATTAAAGATGAAATCTCTTTACTCAAGAATTAAAAATTATTACTACAAACTTTATTGACAACTAAATAATCTCCATAATCTGATAGGAAATTAACTAGATCTGAAGCAAAAAGTTCGTCTAAAACTCAGAAATAGGAAAATTCATCTATAAGAATGCCTAAAAACAAAACCAGATAATAATTAAGATTCGACTGAGAAAGATTATAGATGATACTTATAAATTACTAATATGTTTATCATAATGTCCCAATATATACATTAACATTATAATTCAATTATTATTAATCCATAGGCATTTTAATTTTAGCAGAAACACAAAATGCAAATTGTATTTTTGTAGCATCTTTGATAATCAAAATAGCTTCAAATTTCTAATATTGTTAAACATCATTCTCTATATTATCATTATTAAATGTAAATGTAGGTGATGGGAGATTCTTTACTGTTAATAATTTATATTATTCTAAAGTTTAGGAATCAAGTTGTGTAAATGAATATTCTATGGCATTTTTAGTTTTATTAAACATCTATATAATAACAGATAATTCTGTTCTTTCCTTATTTACATAGGATACTTTACCAACCTAAAAATAAGGAGCATAATCATAATGTAAATTTTAAACACTATAAGCAAACTTTTTTGAGTTTTTCTCCGATTAAAGTGTAAATATTAATTTTTAACACTTTCGGCATTTCCTATTTTTTCTACTTAATAATCCTAAAGGTATTGGTAATTATGTTGGAGGTTGTTATATAGGATTAAAATCTTGTAATTAAACTTATTTATTATTCAAATCTAAATTATATCTTTAAAAAATAACTTTTAAGTTTTTCTCTTTTGCAATTTTTTCAATTTCACTATTACTATAATGAGTTAAGGCATCACTTTTAGGACATGATTAAGTTAATGATTTTAAAACATGTTTATTTTTTTATTATTTTTTAATGATTAAATTATTATTCTCAATACTTTTTATTCGATTATATTATTCCTAAAAATCCTTATATTCAGCTTCATATTCATTTTTATAAGCATTATTAATTTTAGCATAAACTTATTAAAAATTTGGATCTGTAACTCCAATAGTCCTTGTTGTATAAAAGCAATATGAACATATGAATCCATAATTCTTTTCTGTATCTACTTACCTACGTAATACATTTTTACAAATTGGACATTCAAAACAAGAACTACAACTTATAGTAAGGTTGGAAGCTTCACTTGTAATTTAGACATCTCCACAACTTCTACAATAATAGCAAAAAATTTCATTTGATGTACAATATCTACAAATACTGTTCTAACATCTAAGATAAACAAATAATAATTACGATAGACAACAATACATTTCTTCTTATAGAAACTCTCTTCCACATTCGCATAAAATTAGAATTAATGGTAATTTGGCTATCTTTTTGAATTAAAACATTTTAATGAAATATTTATTTATTGTTTTATTAATATCAAACCTAAATGTTTGAGAAATCTACGCTTTAAACAAGAGCTAAAGCTTATTCACTGATTCCCAATTCTCTGGTGAATTCATTTTTAGTGTTGGTATAGATATCGGTTTCTTCAGCATAAGTATTGTTCTCTAATTCTAATTCAGCAGTGTATTATTTTTAATCAGCTGCTCTTTAATCTCTAAATTCAACCATGGAATCAATTTTTTCTATTTATTAATATATATATTTAAATACCATTAGTAGCAGTCAAATCAACAGTGGCTCTGTCTATTTATCTTCCAAATTCTGCGAATTCAGTATCTAATTATTCAAGATAAGCTTCATGATCAACAACATCTTAAGCTTCTTAGGCTGTTAAATCATTGATTTAATCAACAACAGCATTTCTAAAATCATTAAGAGCATCAACAATTGATTTCAAAACATCTTGATTTGAAAAGTTTTAATTTGATGCTAAAGCAATAAGAGCCTTAATCATTGGAGCCATTCTAGATCTTGATCTAAGTTTGGTTTCAATGTTTTTCAAAGTATTTTAGAATCTCTTAATTTAGAGTAATGATGGATTGGTCAAAGAAGATAAAAGAGCAAGTGCATCATCAACTGAAGCAGTAGCATCATTTAATTCAGCAACTTAAGCTTCAAATGCTTCATGCTCTTATTCTCTAACAAGAACAGCTTCATCATAGTTCTTTCTATTCTCTTCTTAATATCCAATAACGGTATCAATTTTGCTTTAGATTTGATTTCTTCTTGGATAAAGTAAATTGTCAAGAGTGTCCTAAGTGTTGTTGACNTTTTTACAAATTGGACATTCAAAACAAGAACTACAACTTATAGTAAGGTTGGAAGCTTCACTTGTAATTTAGACATCTCCACAACTTCTACAATAATAGCAAAAAATTTCATTTGATGTACAATATCTACAAATACTGTTCTAACATCTAAGATAAACAAATAATAATTACGATAGACAACAATACATTTCTTCTTATAGAAACTCTCTTCCACATTCGCATAAAATTAGAATTAATGGTAATTTGGCTATCTTTTTGAATTAAAACATTTTAATGAAATATTTATTTATTGTTTTATTAATATCAAACCTAAATGTTTGAGAAATCTACGCTTTAAACAAGAGCTAAAGCTTATTCACTGATTCCCAATTCTCTGGTGAATTCATTTTTAGTGTTGGTATAGATATCGGTTTCTTCAGCATAAGTATTGTTCTCTAATTCTAATTCAGCAGTGTATTATTTTTAATCAGCTGCTCTTTAATCTCTAAATTCAACCATGGAATCAATTTTTTCTATTTATTAATATATATATTTAAATACCATTAGTAGCAGTCAAATCAACAGTTGCTCTGTCTATTTATCTTCCAAATTCTGCGAATTCAGTATCTAATTATTCAAGATAAGCTTCATGATCAACAACATCTTAAGCTTCTTAGGCTGTTAAATCATTGATTTAATCAACAACAGCATTTCTAAAATCATTAAGAGCATCAACAATTGATTTCAAAACATCTTGATTTGAAAAGTTTTAATTTGATGCTAAAGCAATAAGAGCCTTAATCATTGGAGCCATTCTAGATCTTGATCTAAGTTTGGTTTCAATGTTTTTCAAAGTATTTTAGAATCTCTTAATTTAGAGTAATGATGGATTGGTCAAAGAAGATAAAAGAGCAAGTGCATCATCAACTGAAGCAGTAGCATCATTTAATTCAGCAACTTAAGCTTCAAATGCTTCATGCTCTTATTCTCTAACAAGAACAGCTTCATCATAGTTCTTTCTATTCTCTTCTTAATATCCAATAACGGTATCAATTTTGCTTTAGATTTGATTTCTTCTTGGATAAAGTAAATTGTCAAGAGTGTCCTAAGTGTTGTTGACNTATATTCAGCTTCATATTCATTTTTATAAGCATTATTAATTTTAGCATAAACTTATTAAAAATTTGGATCTGTAACTCCAATAGTCCTTGTTGTATAAAAGCAATATGAACATATGAATCCATAATTCTTTTCTGTATCTACTTACCTACGTAATACATTTTTACAAATTGGACATTCAAAACAAGAACTACAACTTATAGTAAGGTTGGAAGCTTCACTTGTAATTTAGACATCTCCACAACTTCTACAATAATAGCAAAAAATTTCATTTGATGTACAATATCTACAAATACTGTTCTAACATCTAAGATAAACAAATAATAATTACGATAGACAACAATACATTTCTTCTTATAGAAACTCTCTTCCACATTCGCATAAAATTAGAATTAATGGTAATTTGGCTATCTTTTTGAATTAAAACATTTTAATGAAATATTTATTTATTGTTTTATTAATATCAAACCTAAATGTTTGAGAAATCTACGCTTTAAACAAGAGCTAAAGCTTATTCACTGATTCCCAATTCTCTGGTGAATTCATTTTTAGTGTTGGTATAGATATCGGTTTCTTCAGCATAAGTATTGTTCTCTAATTCTAATTCAGCAGTGTATTATTTTTAATCAGCTGCTCTTTAATCTCTAAATTCAACCATGGAATCAATTTTTTCTATTTATTAATATATATATTTAAATACCATTAGTAGCAGTCAAATCAACAGTTGCTCTGTCTATTTATCTTCCAAATTCTGCGAATTCAGTATCTAATTATTCAAGATAAGCTTCATGATCAACAACATCTTAAGCTTCTTAGGCTGTTAAATCATTGATTTAATCAACAACAGCATTTCTAAAATCATTAAGAGCATCAACAATTGATTTCAAAACATCTTGATTTGAAAAGTTTTAATTTGATGCTAAAGCAATAAGAGCCTTAATCATTGGAGCCATTCTAGATCTTGATCTAAGTTTGGTTTCAATGTTTTTCAAAGTATTTTAGAATCTCTTAATTTAGAGTAATGATGGATTGGTCAAAGAAGATAAAAGAGCAAGTGCATCATCAACTGAAGCAGTAGCATCATTTAATTCAGCAACTTAAGCTTCAAATGCTTCATGCTCTTATTCTCTAACAAGAACAGCTTCATCATAGTTCTTTCTATTCTCTTCTTAATATCCAATAACGGTATCAATTTTGCTTTAGATTTGATTTCTTCTTGGATAAAGTAAATTGTCAAGAGTGTCCTAAGTGTTGTTGACGTCTTATAAATTACATTTGTTATATACCTATGACAGCATCTTGAATGTCTTGTTCAAGACTAACAACTAAAGCATTGTGTTCATTTGTTCTAACTTAGAAATTGAATTCAAGTGTTTCTAATTCTTCTTCTAAGTCATTGATTAGTTCTTCGATAGCATCAATCAATTCTTAAACTGGACCTCCTGCCATTGAGTGTAACTCAACCAAATGAAGTAATGCACTTCCATATGTACTCTTTGCTAATTCAGTTTAGATTTTAGCCATGTTTCTTTCTTAAACTCTAGCTGTAAATGCTATTGCAATAAGGGCAATCAGTATTATGGATTTCATGAATTAATATTAATTAAATAAAAACGACTATGCTCAATTATCAATATCATAAATCAATCACTAAATAATTCCAACGTTTCTGCAACTAAACAATCACAATTCCAATTTGTACAACCTTCTTTTTTTATATCTCTCACCTTCCTACTTACTTTTTCATCAAAAAGAATTGCTATTTATATTCTTTCTAACTTTGTCTCTACTTTCTATCTATATTATCTCACCTTCACTCTTATAACTATTATTAAATTGCCTTAGATTTATGATTTTTTCCTTCTTTTATGGTTCTTCTATTTGGTTATGAAAGACACATTACACGGTAATAAATTAACTCTCTTTAATTTTATGATTATTTATTAAACATATTTAATTTATAAATACATTCATTTTAAATTAATCATTAAGTTCTTCTTACTATTTTTTATGTCTTTTAACTCTTTTGAATTAATTTAGAAATTTATTAAAAACTTATATTTTACTTATTATTTATAAGATTAGTTTTTAAATCACTTTCTGATTTCTCTTATCATTTTTTTGTTTATTTTAAATCTTCTAAAAATTACATACATTTCCGCATTTTCCTTTATAAATTTATTCATATTAGATTTAACTAATTTTTCTTACTTGAAAAATTTTGTAATAAATAAAGAAGAAAATTATCAGAGTTTATTTGAAAGTCTTTCTATTAAGTTTAAAGCAACAAAAATATTTAATAAGTTGCCCTCCATTTTTATTTTTAATTTATTATTAGTGTTGCAAAAATTTTTTTGCAGAAAATACATTAAATACTACAGAACAATCTTAAAAATTTTAGATTAAGTAATTTAAAAATTCTCGGTTTAAATTTGCTAAAGCCCTAGCTTAGAAATAAATTATCTCATTTTATTTTGATAGAATTTAAGGATAAAGCAGAAATCCATCTTTTTAGCCAAAGCATAGACAAATTTTTAAGTTCACAAATTTTTTCTATTAATAATTTAATTCTCTCATGTCAAATTTAATAAAGAATATCTATAAATGAAATTTCTTTGGTCTTTCTAATAATTAATCTAATTGGTTTTGAACAAAATTCGGAAAGTTTAAAGAGATAATTATTATTACTAATACTCATTATTTAAAATAATAATCTCAGAATTTCACTACAGTTTATAGATTGTAGTTTTTATACAATTCAGCTACAACTTTATTCATAGCTGTAGGTCCACAATAAGTTCCTATAGTTTCGCTATTAGGAGAAGGGAAGACACTTTTTAAAACATTCAGAGAAACATAACCTTATAATCCATTATATCCAGGTTCTTTATCTAAAATATGAGTAACTTTTAAATTAGGACATTCATTTTAAAGCTTTGATATTTAATCTTTTAATAAGATGTCTTAAGATGTTTTGTTGGCATATAATAGATGCATTTAAAGAGGATCCTTATTCTAGCAAACATGTTTGATTATCGAATAGGCAGGAGTAATACCTGTTCCTCCACAAATCATTAAAATAGTCTTAAAAATTTAAAATTGTTTATTGATTTTTGGGCTTATTAATAACTAAAAACATTTTACGCTATTATAAATTTATTTGCTCCTACATAAGCTAATTTCCCTATTTTCCTTTACATTTATAATCTAGTATTAATACTCATCTTAGCTAAAATTGGAGTCAATGACCCTTATGGGTATATTTTAATTGGTACTTCAAAATAACGCTAAATTAAATATTCATATTTACTTTTTAAGAAAGAATAGGGGTATAGTTTCTATTAATATCAATTCCATCTGAATCTTTCATTCTTGTATAAATAAATAGAGATTTTACAAAATCTGAAAATGTTCAGCTGGCTCTAATTAAATATCAACATCACTTTGAAACCCAAACAAATAAGTATCATGTGTAATCTAATCTCTTTTCACTAAAGTGGCATCAAAAGTTTTATCGTAATCTATAGAACTCATTTATTTATATTATAATAATTTTTTCACTTTTAGGTTTCCTTCTCTTTTCCTTATTTAACAACTTTCTAGTCCAATTTTTCTTTGCTTTCATCTTTATTTTAATCATCCTTTGTCGATACTTCATCAATTAACTTTTAGACTTTCATTATAGGTTTTTTGGTCACTACTGTAATTTGAAATGTTGTATAATCTTATAATTCTGGACTGTAATAATTTTCAATTTATAATGTAAATTATCCATAAGTAGTAATTTTGTTAACCATAGACAACAAATGGTTTTTTGTAATCTATAATAAAAATGCTATATTATACTTATAATTTGAATCTTTATTGCACTTCATCAATAATCAATCTATCATCTATTGGATCTTTAAGAAGAGCTGGATTGGAAAATTTGGGTGGTCGAACAAATTCTAAATGGATTCCTGCAATTTTTTGTTAAAACAATTTAATATCCTTTCTTCTTTAAATTTTATTTTCTAACTTCTCTTCATCTAGATTGGGTAATAATCTAAATAAAAATTACTACTCTTAATACCTTCTTCTATATCCTGGCAGATTCTAATATGCCAAGGCCATAGGAAAAAGAAATTTCTCAAAAAATCCTGGTTTCACAATGCGTATTTCTCCTTAAAATCCTTATACACAATCTTTTAAAAAAAATATTTCCATTCTCTATTTTGAGAAGAAGTATTGTAAACCTCTTTTCATTAAATTTAATTACAGTATAATATTTATTGGATATTAATTTAAATTATGGAAGGTATCATAACTTAATTTGGTATTTTATTCCTTCTTATAGCTTTGTTCACTTTTGAAGGACTATTCAAATTAGTGCCATTATATTCTATCATAGCTGAAATTTATTCATTGTATTTAGATAGCTAAAAGAATGCTCCTAAATAAAAAGAGATATCTAAAAATTAAAAATTCACATGGTAAGAATTGAAAAAGCATGACAATTAATCTTCTGCTTATGTAGCTATTAAAGGTAAAGTATATGATGTGACTTCATTTTTAAACAATCATCCAGGAGGAAGAGAATTTTTATTGTTGAATTGTGGAAGAGATGCTTCACTTGCATTTCAATCATATCATCCATTTTCAGAAAAACCTGAGAAATTACTGGAGAAGTATTTGATTGGAGATCTAATAACAACAGAATGGCCAACTTTCAAACCTGATTCTGGATTTTATAAGGAATGTTCAGATAGAGTTAAGAAATATTTTGAATCCAAAGGAATAAATCCAAAGACTCCAATCCCAGGATTAATGAGAGCTATTCCTTTATGGATCTGTTTCTTTTATACATTTTATTTAACATTCATAGATGATTCATTTTGTTTATGTAAAAGAATTTTAATAGGCACAATATTTGGTATTTTATAGGCATTAAATACATTACATTTAATGCATGATGCATCACATGGAGCAGTTGGAAATAATGAAAAATGGTGGTGGTTCTTTGGTAGAATGACATTAGATTATATTTCAGGATCATCTATGGTAGCATGGTAAAATTAACATGTAATTGGACATCATTAATATACAAATATAATGGGATCAGATCCAGATATTCCATAATCAAAAGAAGGAGATGTTAGAAGACTTGTAAAAGAATAAATCTGGTGCACTATGTATAAATATTAACATTTATACATGCCCGTTCTATATGGTTTATTATCTCTTAGATCTAGATATTATGATGTTTTTGAAATATTCTTAAAGGAAACAGATGGACCAGTTAAAGTTAATCCTATTTCTTTATAAGATAAATTGAGATAAGCTAGTAGTAAATTACTTTGGCTATTTTGGAGATGTTATTTGCCTATTTTTGTTTTTGGAATGACATAATTTTAATTTTGGTTTCTTTTTATTTATGTAGAATTTATAACTGGATATTGGTTAGCTATAAACTTTTAAGTTTCTCATGTTTCAGATGAAGCTGAATTCTTCTATAATAATATGGATAAAGTAGCAAAGAATGGTACAAATGAATAATGGCCAATTGAATGGGCAATTTTATAAATTAAGAGTTCAGTTGATTATAGTCATGGTAATTGGTTTATGACATATCTATGTGGAGCTTTAAATTATTAAGTTATTCATCATTTATTTCCTGGAGTGAGCTAATATTTATATCCAGAAATTGCTCCTATAGTTTTAGAAGTTTGCAAAAAATACAATCTTAAGTATAATCTTCTTCCTGGATTTAAAGAAGCATGGAATGGACATTTCAATCACTTAAAAAATATGGGTAAATTAAAAAAATTTGTTGGATTTGCTAAAATGGAATGATTTACAATTGAGAAATAACAAATATTATAAATCAATTTAATTAAACATTTATTAAAAATTCTATATATTGCTTAATTGTTTACTTTATTAAAATTCATGATCTTGAAGAACCAAAACAAAAATATTTTCGATAAAGTACTTTAATATAGTAGTATATAATTTAGAATATATGTTAAATTCTCTTTGAATAGAAACATCACCATGTAAGAATTATTTCTTTCGAAAACATTAGTGTTACTGGAGTTGCTAATACATTATTTATTCCTGCAATCACTTGAAATACAATAAATTTATAATAATTTTTTTGATTTAATCCTGCAGTCCAAATAATCAATAGAGGATCAATAATATATATGGTATTATACTTATATTAGAATTCTAATAATGCATCCAAGATATCCAAAAAAATGAAAGGAAGTCCTCACAGCATCTTTCTAAAGAAGAATCAATATCAATCCATATTCATATAAGATCTACGAACTATTTATTAATTAAGAATTATATGGAAAACTACATGTTGCTAATTCAACACTATATGTCATAAGTTAACTTTTTTTTAAAATGATTTATATGACTTTATAATATTAAATATATTATTATTCATTTAACCCGTCTGTTTTGATATAATGCATAGTAACTCCAAACTACTAGAATGAGTCCTAAAAGTGACATAAAACCAAAAAGATTAAATGGTGCTATTTTACTCCAGTGATCCTAAAGAACTCCTCCTACAAAAGAACAGATTAATATGCCTAATACACTAAAAACATTAGCCAATCCTGAAATATATCTATTTTATAATTTATAAAATACCCTCTAAATTCAGTATAAGCATATTTATTGACAAAATATAATGCTCCAGTATACAATCCTGACATTCCACTTCCTAAAACTGACATAATTAAATAGGTATATGGACTTTTTGGATTTGGAGCAAAGTTCATCAAAAAACATCCTATCATTGTTAGACTAAACATAGTAAATAGCAATTTATTTTTTGAGACTTTTTCAAATAAAAAACCATAGAAGATAGCTCCTACCATAATGACTAAATAAGTAATTCCAGAAAGGGTTTAAGCCTATCAATTTATATATATTAAATATTAATACTTAAATACTAGCTTATTTATATGCTTCATCTCCATCTAAAGTATCATCAACATATTATTGACTCCATATTTATAATGATAAAGTGAGTAAAATAGAGTCTCCTCTTCCTAAAAAATTTGTCACATAACCTTAAAATATCCATATATTTTTTCCAGCTAATAAAGCAATCTTCATTGCAGCTCCAAAAGAGGATTCTTATTTAATTTAGTTTAGTGTTCTCACTTCTCCTTCATAATCAATATAATCAAAGTCTTCATGTTAAATTTATTTTAGATTCTAATATGGACATATACTTTTTTCAATTAAATCATCTCTAAGAGGAGCATTTTTAAAGTTCTTTCTTTACTTTTTAAAATGTAACCCTTTTTTTAATCCTAAAGTATAAAGTAAACCAAGACAAAGGAAAGAACATCCTACAACAACATAAGTAGTTTAGACTGAAAAGTTCTGAGTCAACAACTTAGTAATTACTGTTGCTGAAAACATTGCTCCAAAGGCTGCAAGAATTACATTTATTGCTGAAGCTTTTCCTTTTGTTTCATCTAATACATAATCACCCAAAAAAGGTATTGTGGCTAAAGTTATTGCTCCTATTGCATATTGAATCTAGATAACATTTTATTTATTACTCTTGATATACAATATTAGGGATAAATGTCCTCTGCAAATCCCATACTGCATATTGATATTGCTGTTAAAATGATTCCCATTTATAATACTGGTACTCTTCCAACTTTATCACTCATTATTCCAACTAAAGGAGCAAATAAGCATTTTGTTGCTATGTCTATAAGCAACATATATCCATTTTCTAAATTGAAATATATTCTTACACATTCCTGCATCTTTTGGATGGATTCCATATCTCTAATTAAATAACAAAGGTTAGAGACTCTCAACACTTACAAAAATAAATGTCATAACAAAATAGTGACATAAAGAACAAAAATAATTTGTGTATGATATGTCTGGATATAATTTAATCTTTCCTTTAAAAAGTGCTCTCTCTTTAGGACCATCTTCAGAAGATTCAACTTAATTCATAATTTTATTTAATACAAAATTATCATTTTATTTCATAATATCATTTTATCTAATCAAAAACATTAATCTAGTATGAGATTAAAGAAGAATTTATAAAATAATTCAAGATTTTATTATTTTTATACTTAAGCTATATGCCATCTGTTATAGTCTAATTTATTATATTTCTTTTATTAATCTTATATCTGTAGGAAGAGTTACGAAAATATAAATATTAAATTATGAAAGTTAGAAGTGGTTGTTCCTAATTCCCAACCCTCTTGCAAATACTTACTTATGTAATGTACATTTTAAATGTTATTATTACATACATTCATACTATAATTCTCGAAGAATATGTAACTTTAATCACCTTATTTAGATTGTACATTATATAATATTCTCTATTCTGGTTTCCATCTCATGTTATTTTTCTATAAAAACTACCATAAGTAATCCCACTGATAGTTATGTGATTCAATAATAAAAATTTAGAGGGTATATTTAAAATAATGACAAATTAGAGAAACTTTTGATTATGAAGAACATCACCTCACTTAATTTTGTGAACTTTGTATTGCTTATGTTAAAGAAACAACAAAACATTGTAAATAATGTAATAGGTAATTTCAAATTTCTATTAGATGTTGCGAAGACTTTGATCATCATTGTAGATGGATCAACAATTGTGTTGGTGGAAAAAATTATAAATAATTTATAGGAATGATTTTATTTACATTCTTGATCCTATTACATTCCATGATTGTTAATGGAAGAGTTATAAACTAATATAATAAATAAGAACTTAAAACCTTAACTGTAAATTTTCAATATATGATAGATATACTCTAAATAATAAAAGTCTATGTTTATCATAGCAGTTTTATTTTTAGTTCTTGAAATAGTTGGTTCAATATTCCTATTATAATTAATTGTATTTCATGCATATCTTTATAAAAAAGGAATTACTACTTATGAATTCATTATTCAAAGAAGAACTAAGTAAGTTTAGCCTTCTGAATTTAATATTATCAATAATTAAGATAGCAAAATGGATATTATTAAGAATAATAAAGAACAGGAAGATTAATGTATTATGTTTAGAAAAGAAAAGGAAAAGCAAACGAGTTAAATTTATACTAATTCAGAGTTGATAAAAAAAGACGAATCTCTTTGTTCAATAAAGAAAAACAGTTAGTCTATATTGTAAAAGCGAAAACTTACATAAGGAGAGAGTGAAGATTCCCAAAAAGAAGGTGTTGTTAATTACTTCTCTCAAAGAATTTAATCAAATGTTGATTTTAAGTTATAAAATCGTTAATTAAATACTATTGAAATGAAGACACCAGAAATAACCTAATTTTAATGAATTACTTAAGTATAAATAATTGACAAAATTATTTTGGTATTATAAATCAAAATCTTTTTTCTATTAAAGCTTATTAACGCCAGCTTTCACTGAATTCATTCATTTAAGACATAAATTCATCTTGATACCCTCTAAGGACTTTGTTTTTTATTGGTTTAAGATTGATAGAAAACCCTTTTTTATAAATTGGTTAGTTTAATGTTGAAGGATCGACTTAGATAGAAATATATAATATAATTACCAAAAGGAAAAGAGTCTTCATCTGAACTATATTTAATTTGTTCTTCGTCTACTGCTTCATTCAAATCATGTTTTACTTTACAGGTTTCCACATTATCCTAATATTAATTTTGTTTTTAAAATCCAATAATTTTATATTAATCTTTTTTTTTTAATCTGAGAGTATTTAAAATTTGTTAAAAGTCTTCGCTTCGAGTTCTATGTTATAATTAAATTAAACATTTTTATTTTTTAAGTTCCTAATTTTTTGTTTCCAACTCTTAAATTAGATTTAAAACATGTTAGGATAAACTATCAATATCTGATTGAATTTTGTTTGCCAACTGCAAAAAACTTTTTTTTAGTTCAGAAAAAAGAACTATTTTTAAAGGTTATTCACGTTGTTCCATTCTATCAAGAATTTGTAGAAATGAAGAGAAAGTGAATTCGTTATAATTGGCACATTCATTTGTTAAACTAGACTCAAGTACTTTACTTTGATAAGTGATACACTTACATATTTTTGAATTCTTAAAAGCTAGAAGCATCTTCAGATGTGTTATATTGTCTAATTCTTTTTGCTATTTTTTCTTTGATAGTAGAAACTACACTACTTTGATTAGGGGAGTACAATCCTGAACATACAGAACTGACTAATCGTTAGTGTAACTGAGAGTAATGATAGTTATTAGTTTTGGTAATTGAAAGATTGGGACTAGAACGATGAAAGTTCTTTTAGGATTATCTGTGTATTTTAGTAATAATCTAATCCATATGAGAAGACTTATTCATTAATTTAATTATGAGTAGATATCCATAAGTGTTTTTAGATTTTCAAATAGGTACTTCAGCAGCAGGAAGAGTGATTTTTGAATTGTTTAATGATGTAACTCCTAAAACAGCTGAAAACTTTAGAGGACTATGTACTGGAGAATATGGTAATGTAGGAATGGCAAGAAAGACAAAGAAATTACATTATTTGAATACAAATGTATTTAGAATAGCAGATAATATGTTAATATAAGGAGGAGATATAATAAATAATGATGGAACTGGAGTAAAATAATTTAAAAATTTAGGGTGCATCAATATATGGTTAAACATTTGTAGATGAGAATTTTTCAAGAAGACATGCATGTGCAGGTTTATTATCAATGGCAAATAGAGGAAGAAACACAAATAATTCATAGTTTTTTATAACATTAAAACCATGTCCACATTTAGATGGAAAACATGTAGTATTTGGATAAGTTATAGATGGAATAGAAGTTATTAAAAGAGTAGGTTAAGTACCTGTAGATATGTAAGATAGACCAAGAATTCCTGTTATTATTATTAATTGTGGCGAGGTTTCTGAATAAAAAAACTGGTTAATATGTGATCCTTTTAAAAAAGAGATTATGGAAGAAATTCATAGAGAAAGATTAAAAGCATTATATGGATAAGAATATTTGGATGAATTAGATAAAGAAGAAGAGTAAAGAGAATTAGCATTGAATCCTGAAAAGATTAAGTAATCTAATTAAGAAAATGAAGAAGAATAAAAGAAATAATTGTTAGTTGATGAATTATTAAAGAAATCTTCAGAAAATTAAGAATAAGAAGAAGATGAAGAAGATTCTTAACAAATATTGTAATAATTTGAAGGAAAAGATTTTATGACTGAAAAACATAAATAGAGATATTTAGAATTGAAAAAAAAAATACAGTAATCTAAAGTATTAAATGATAAAGCAGTTTTAAATGAAGAAAGATAAAATACAGATGCCCAATATGATAAATATTTAAGAAAGAAAAAATATCTTATGAAAAAAGAGGCAGAAAAATCAGAATTAGAATTTAAATAAATTGATGAAGATAAAGATTATTTAAATAGAATGTCTCTAAAACATGATGAGGAATAAGAAAAAAAAAAAGAATATTTTGGATGGGATGTATTTAATGAAGATGCTGTATATAATGCTTATAAGAAAAGATGTACTTCTTTAGCAAAAGATGAAGGAAAATATATATAATAAATGGGTATATTTATTTATATATAAGTTTTTAGAAAAAAATCAAGAATTCGTTCCTACAAATGAAGCTTTAGAAAGACTCAGTTCTGATATAACAAAATAATAAGAGAAAAGAAAAGAGTTTTCAAGAAGAAGAAGATTTAATGAAGATTAACCTGTTACTTATATTAATGAAAGAAATAGAATATTTAATAAAAAATTAGAGAGATTTTTTGGAGATTATGCTGCAGATATTAAAGCTAATTTAGAAAGAGGTACTGCATCTTGATAAAAATGTATATTATATTTTACAAATATGGGTCAAAAATTAAATAAATATTAAAATGCAATAAACTTCTTAAAGAAACCTCTTGTTGACTAGTCCTATAAAGTATTAAAATTCCATTAAATTCAATTAAACTCCGGATGAAACAGGAAAATAGAAGCAATACTTTATTAAAGATAAGGAAGCCATGTTTGAAGAAATTTAATCTCTCAAATAAAGCAAAAATGAGTTGTTTATCAATTTAAAAAAGCTTTAAGCTTAAGTTCAATATTACAAGAAAGAAGCTATGTACAAGGAAGAAAGCAGTCCACTCAAAAGTTCATCCAGATTCAAACAATTATATTAAGAGAGAATTGCTATTCTAGAGGTTTTTATAAATAAAATTCTAAGCAAGAAAATTCTAAATTGCATCAACAATTAGAAGAAATATAAACGTTTTTGAACTAGCTTAAAAATCCATTAGGTCAATCTAATTTAGAACTATTTTCCTTGTAATTATAAAATGATAATGAATAACTGACTTAATTGTTAGAAGAAAAATAAAATGAAATTGAAGAACTTAAAGTATTATTATTTATTATTCTAAGAAAACAAACAACAAATTAACAATCAAATTTAATGCTTCACAAATTCAACAAAATAAACTTAAAGCACTTAATAATTAATTATTAATAGATATTAATGATTTGAAGAAAAAATAACATCTTTATGAAAGTAGAATTTCTTAAAAAGAAATTCCTAGAGTAGATGAAAAAATTTAAATTGAATTAGAATAAATGAAAATAGAAATAAGAAAATCTTAACAATAATTGAAATAACAAGAACAATCTTTTGCTAATTAATTATAATTAGAATAAGAAAAATTTGAGAAATTAGAAAAACGAAATAAAGAACTTTAGAAAAGTATTATATTTTTGGAAAATATGTATGAATAGGAAAAAGTTAATTATTAATAATTATAATAATCATAAAAATTTATAAGAAGAACTGTGATCCTTAAATCCATTTAACCAGAAGAACCGGAAAAATATATTGAATAAGAAACTAAACTGAGAAAATTAGGTTAAATTGAAAAAAGTGAAATTTTACCAATTGCTAAGAAAGTTAGATTAAATCTATTAGCCTAATAAATTTCTTTAAAATAAGTTGAAGAATATCTTCTTACTAATGAGACTCTAACATTATTATAATTGGAAGAGAATTTAAGTTGTCATGTTTTTGGATTGACTGAAGATGAAGAAATTTCATAATTGGCTACTTATTTAGCAGATCTTGAAAATGAAGAAGTCGAAACAACAGCTCTAAGGGTAAAAAGTATTTTTAAGAATTTAATGGAAAATTATACAATATTGAGTAAAAATGAATTATAAGCTATCAATTAAAGTATTTCAATTAAACGAACTTAAATTAATGAATATTTGACAAAGAAATATCCATAGATATTTACAAGTGGTTATATTAGTATTGATGTAAAATTATTTATAATTATTAAGCAATATTTGGAAACCTTATAGAATCTAGAAGTTTCATTAAGTAAAAATGAAATAGATCATTTAACTGCTTTGATTACTAAGTAAAATAGATAACCAAGAGTACTATTATAATAAATTCATGCTCCTTTCTTTATTTGTAATGAGCCTACTTCTGATGACGATGATTCAAGCTTTCATTAACCTGTACCATAATTACATAATCCTATGTAATTATCAGATGATGAAGAATAGTTGAGTGCTTTAGACATTAAAATGTGTAATTCATAAGAGTTAAGAAAAAAGAGTCATACTGAACTCCCTTAATTTTGATTCTTTATATATATATAATGGAAAATCGTTTAGAAAAAAATGTCAACAAATTGATCGAACGCTATAAAAAAACCAGCCAGTAAATAGACTAAATAATTTAACCAGAGTAAATTATTTCTCAACCAATTACTCTCTATTAAACAAGATCTCGACAAAGCAGAACTAATTTTAATGATGAGTAATCTTAAATCATCACATAATAGGGAGAGTTCATCAAGAGAAAAAAAGAATCATTCCATCGAATAGATAAGTAGATTAAGAGAAACCTTAAATGCTAAAGAATTGTAAGAAAAGGAAAAATAAGAAAGATTGAAAATTTTAAGTAAAGAATTAAAAGTACTGTTTTTATTTTATTTAGATGACTCTAAAAGATTATATGTAAGCAAATAAAGATTTGGAAGTTAAAGTTAATCAAAGAGATAAACATATCAAATAATTAGAATTTGAATTAAAATCTATTTAAGATTCTTTCTCTAAAGTAGAAAATAATGTTAGAGAGACTAAATTAAAGAGTGAAGGTTAAGAAAAACTTATTGAAGAGTTATAATAATAAAGTCATGTATCACATCAAAAATTAATATTGAAAAAAGATAAAATATAATCACTTAAAGAATAGCTTAAACATTTAGAAGCTTAATTTGATGATTAAGGATAAAATTTTGGTAAAGAATTAGAAAGAGTTTAAAAATTATGCGAAGATTTTTCATCTGAAATGTATAATTTAATAATAGTCGTTAGCAAAAATTAAGAAGCATAAAATAGCGAATTAGAATAAGAAAAAATTTAATTGTTAGATGAGATTCAATAAAAATAAGCTTAAATTAAATATTTTGATTCATTAGTGTAGGATTTTCGTTTTAGAGATGAAGACAACTAAAAATAGATTGACTATTTAAATTAAGAGTTACAATATTAAAAAGCATAAACTTAGTAATATGTAATAAAATTTGAAGAATGTTAAGAAAAACTAAAATCAGTTTCTGAAAGTACATAAGCAGCTGTTTTTAAATATGAATAAGAATTAAAAAAAAAGAATGATTAATATTAAGACATAATAGATAAAAAGAAAAAAAAGCTTAGTGAATAAAAACTTAGAATTGAATAATTACAATAGATAATATCTGATATATAAAAAAAATTAGACAACGACGATAAAAATATTTAGATATAAGATTATGAGCTTAAGAAATTATAACAAATTAAGAATGAATTTAAACAGATTAATGACTAACAAACATAGAAATTATATAATAACGAAGAAAAAATTTAATAATTACTTTTAGAATTATCAGAATAGAAATAAATTAGTTCAAATTTATTAAGTCAAATTAATTAAATGGAACTTAAATCTAATTCGGATGAAAGAATTATTGAATAAGTAAAGTGTATTTTTTATGATTAGCTTAAAGATGATATTAAAAACTTATCTGATTCACTTATTTAAATTTAAGATTACAATAAAAGCTTAGAATAAGAACATTTAGATCATAAATTATAACATGAAAAATAAATGGATGAAATTGAGAAAAAGATTGACAATTTAGTTGAAGTTGCCTAAAATGCAAAGGAAGAATTAAAAGAATAAAAATAAAGAGAACATGATCTAAAATTAAAATTAAAATTATAAGAATCTGAGACTGAAAAATAATAGCAAAAGAGTTAGAAATACAAGTAATAATTGTAAAATCTTCGATAGACAATAAAAAATGTAAAAAATGCTATAAATTTAGTAGGAAGAGAAATTTAAATAATATGATTGTTAAACTTAATAGTTTCCAATTTAATCTTAAAAATAGGAAGAATTGCATAATTAATAAAAATTAAAAGTTTTGGAAGATATTTAGTCATTAATCAAATTACATAGAAAAATTTGAATATGAGCTTTAATATATATTTATAAAATAATAAAAGTTTTATGCTCTGATAATAAAAAAATTAGACTATATTTCTAAGTTAATAATATATTTTTAACTTTGATTTTGATGCTTCGTAATACATTGAATTATTAATGTGTCTTTTAATTACTATAAAATTTTTATACTAACATTACAGAATAAATCTTGGAATTTATTTAATGATTAAACAATATTAAAATTTACAAAAGGAAAAATGAACCCTTAAGATCATTAAAATCAGTTTTCATAAAACTATAGACCTGTATAAATTTACCCTTCTTTCATAAATTCAATGCCTTGGCAATATCCAATTCCACATGCTTACTCCTACAATCCTCATCATCTAATGTATTATCAAAGATAATTTCCTTCTGTAATGGTGCCAGATCTCCAACATAATCAAAAGCAATAATAGCAAAAAGAAGTTATAACAATTTCGAGTGATGAAGAGAAAGTCCCTAAAAAACCTTAGGAACAAGCACCTAAACCTGTTGTATAAGCACCTGTTCAACCCAAAAAACAGCCAAAGATCTTGGACTTAGATTAGTTGGAAAGTTAAGGAAAGGTGTATGATTACGAATCTTCTGACTCTCCTTAACTTCCTAGAAGAGTCTCAAAAAGTTTGAATTTTCAGAAGACTATGCGATAAATGCATTATGAATCATTTTAATCACCAAAACAAAAGAAGAAGCCAATTAAAAATCGTAAGGAACCTAGTCGCATCCAACCTAAATTAACAAAACAAGTTCAAATAGGAAGATAGCGCCAACTTATTGCATTCCCTTAATCAAGTCTAAAAACGCGTTTAATCAGGGTTTACACTAAAAATGAAGAGAAATGTACTTAATATATTTTATATGAGACAGTTTAGAAATTACTTAATATCCTCTTATAGAATTTTCCAAATGCTAATGATGAGGATGTTGTAAGAATACTTAACTTTACTGGTAAATCTTATGAAAAAGCTATCAACTTCGTTCAGGAAAATGGGTTTCTAGTACAATATTTGATTGAGAGTAACACTTATTTAAAATATTTTTTTAGCTTATTAGAACAATGTCTTATCAAGTGATCAAGAATCAACAAATAAAAAGTGAATTTGAACATATAAAATTATTATTTATTTTAGTAGTTTTTTAAATGGAATTTTAAATTGATATGTTCCTGAATTTATTATTTAAATTAATTTATTACGTCATTCATATTCTTTTTTAAATTTTACATAAAAATTTTTGAGATTTTTTAGAATTATATTTATCTTGTTTATAAACAATTTTTTAATTAGAATTTACTATTCTAATAAGAAATAATCAGCTCATACCTATAAAGAATATTCTTTAATTCTNTATAAATTTACCCTTCTTTCATAAATTCAATGCCTTGGCAATATCCAATTCCACATGCTTACTCCTACAATCCTCATCATCTAATGTATTATCAAAGATAATTTCCTTCTGTAATGGTGCCAGATCTCCAACATAATCAAAAGCAATAATAGCAAAAAGAAGTTATAACAATTTCGAGTGATGAAGAGAAAGTCCCTAAAAAACCTTAGGAACAAGCACCTAAACCTGTTGTATAAGCACCTGTTCAACCCAAAAAACAGCCAAAGATCTTGGACTTAGATTAGTTGGAAAGTTAAGGAAAGGTGTATGATTACGAATCTTCTGACTCTCCTTAACTTCCTAGAAGAGTCTCAAAAAGTTTGAATTTTCAGAAGACTATGCGATAAATGCATTATGAATCATTTTAATCACCAAAACAAAAGAAGAAGCCAATTAAAAATCGTAAGGAACCTAGTCGCATCCAACCTAAATTAACAAAACAAGTTCAAATAGGAAGATAGCGCCAACTTATTGCATTCCCTTAATCAAGTCTAAAAACGCGTTTAATCAGGGTTTACACTAAAAATGAAGAGAAATGTACTTAATATATTTTATATGAGACAGTTTAGAAATTACTTAATATCCTCTTATAGAATTTTCCAAATGCTAATGATGAGGATGTTGTAAGAATACTTAACTTTACTGGTAAATCTTATGAAAAAGCTATCAACTTCGTTCAGGAAAATGGGTTTCTAGTACAATATTTGATTGAGAGTAACACTTATTTAAAATATTTTTTTAGCTTATTAGAACAATGTCTTATCAAGTGATCAAGAATCAACAAATAAAAAGTGAATTTGAACATATAAAATTATTATTTATTTTAGTAGTTTTTTAAATGGAATTTTAAATTGATATGTTCCTGAATTTATTATTTAAATTAATTTATTACGTCATTCATATTCTTTTTTAAATTTTACATAAAAATTTTTGAGATTTTTTAGAATTATATTTATCTTGTTTATAAACAATTTTTTAATTAGAATTTACTATTCTAATAAGAAATAATCAGCTCATACCTATAAAGAATATTCTTTAATTCTAATATCATTAAAAACTATATTAATTATATTTTTAAAAAGATATGTTTATTTAAACAAAAATTACTGGTTTATTATAATTGGTTAAAAAAATTCAAATTATCAAAGTAACCATCCATATTCTTCTTATCTTTTTGATTTTAACTACCTTGGAAGTGGTTATAAATAAATTTCTTCATCATAATGTATTCTTTATGCTAACTCAAGATTTAGAGGAGCTAAAGGTTATAATGGGAAAGAGGCCACATAAGAAGAAGGCTATTACTATCTTTCAATACACTAATAATATGCAAAAATATTACAAATTAATGAACTTTGCCCATTAAAATATTCCAAGGCATATTAGTATAAATAGTTGGCATATTATGATAAGGAGATTTACCTACAAAATATCCTTCATTATTTCCTAATTATTCATAAAATGAAAAGGACTTCTCATATTTCACATATTTATTAATATAAAATGGATAAGTATCTGAGGGAATTTGATAAATTTATTGAAATATTTTTTATAAAAATTCCCAATTAGTATATTTATTAATTGTTAGGCATTTCTTCAAAAATTCTTTGTTTTAATCTAAATTTTAAATATACAATGGACCCGATCCTGTTATAGAACACATTTAAGATTATTCACAACCATTTGAATATCTACCACAAGTAGAGCAAAATGGATGATATTATTTTAATTATTTTTTTCCATTTTTTATTGACATACATAATGTTAGATGTCCAACTTAATTTGCGGTTGCTTATGTATAGAGGGGTTCAATATGTTTACCAAGATCATGAGCAACTTGTTCAAATTTAGCAAGTGTTCCTTAAATTATGGTTTCTGAATTACAAAAAATATCATTTGGAAAAAAATTGATTTATTGTCTAGTTTGCTTTCCAAAAAATTTTGTATTAGGAACAAACTATAAAATTGTATATATCAATAATCCACCATCATTTATAGCTTTAAGTGCTGGAACTAATAAATTGAATGGTTTGCGAAAAATGTCTTCAATTTCAATGAAATCAAACTTCTTTCCTGAAAGATATTCATATTTATCCATTTAGAATAATTTTTAAGATTAAAGCCCATTAAGATTTAAAATATAATTTGTGAAATCTAAAAAGTTCCTTTTGCTATCGCAGCCAACTGGATCATAATTCAAATCCTAAATATATCTGATTAATCTAGAAGTTGTTTATGTACCTAGAATAGCAGTTTTAGGTTTAGTTGAACCGAAATAGGCCTCTGCCAATATAAGATGCAAATCTCTATTAATTTTCATGTTATTGATATAAGGATAATACATATCAGTTTAATTATCTGTATCAAAACATGATTATGGATTAAGAAAATGATATTTCATCTTTTCTTCAATTGATTCATAAATATGAATTTCATTTTTATTTTTTTCAAAAAATTATGGACTATAAAATCCTTTTGGAGGTTAATCTAGTTACAATAATGTTTAAACTGGTGTGTGTATCTTTAATCCATTAGAATTTGCTTGCCTTTTTATAATATTTTAAAGAAGAGTTGATTTCATAAATATTTTTTATTTAATTACTATTATTTTATTAAGTTTAAAATCTCATTCTTCTTATAACAAGAACAATTAGCTCTTTTTTTATGAATTGGCTTAATTGGATCTGATTCTTAATCATAATTAAATTTAAATTCCCTAATTCTGTAACTAAGAGGTATTTCTTTGGATCTATTAGTAATTGAATTTTAAGATTGATTTCTATAAAATTATTTAATTTTCAATTTAGGTAGTTTGAAGTTGTCATTTTTGAATTATAGTAATTCATTATCGTGTAACTATGAAATTGATATGATCATTTTATTTTTTATTATAAAATAAAACAAATCATTTCTTTTTTAAAAGTATTTATTTTTCCCAATTTAATGGAAGTTTGGGATTCTGTTTTTCTGTATCAGGTAATCCAGTTATAGCTTTTTCTAGTCTTCTTTCAAAATCCATAATTTCATCAATCCCTATGTCTTCACAGTAGCTATATTGTAACCAGTATCTCATTAAATCAGAATGAGTTTTTATCTAGATAGGTTCCTCTTAATGTAGATGATCGCTACAGTATTCTATTATCTAATTGTTTTTACTATTTGTTTGAGTTTGTTATTTTACTTTTATTTGATCAAACTAACTAATTTTTCAATTCTTTCGCTTTCATAATTAGATTTGATCTTCATTATTGTGTCATATATTTTGGAATCATAAAGAATTCTTGTAATGAAATTCTATTTATGATATTCAGACCAATTAAAATTTATAGAGAATTTCTTATAATTATTAAATTCTTTTCCAGCAGCACAAAACTATTGCAAATATCTATCTAACTATTCAATATAATAATGACATTATTCCTCAGTATCACATTTATATAACTACATTTACAAATGAACTTTCTTTATAAATATAATATATAATACCTGTAAATAGAGATTCATAAAATTGTTCATGTGATTTGAAATAGTTGATTGATTTGCTTGATCTAACATTTAGCTATTTGTTTAATAGCTTTGTCCTTTGAAATATATATTATTGAAAGTTTCTTCCATTAATAATATATAATGAAATCAAAAAAACATATTAGATCATCTTCTACTCAATTTGAAATGTTGATGTTGAAATTTAATTGGAGCATGAAAATGAATGCGCTTCAAAAGATATTTGTTAAAAGATGCAAATAACCATTAAACGATCTCAAAAATCACAACAATGATAGATCAATCAAAAGACATGTTAGACATTTATCAGATCAAGTTGATGAATCTATGGAATAACATAAATTAATTGAATTACTAAAACATAGAAGAACTCCAACTGATAATTTTCAAAAGTGTGATACTTCTGATATAACTCGAATCTATAGTAATAGAAAACGAGAAGAAAATTCTTTATTCTTTTAACCTGATGAGAATACTAGAATTAATGAATAATTTTTAGCTCTATTTAAGGATCGAAAAGATTAGACGTATTTTGGCATATTGAGTAAATAGCATTCCAATATTAGCTCCAAGAACTTAAGTTGAATAAGAGAATCTCTAAAAAATGTTGGAATATAAAAAACTGAATTAAAATGATCTCTTTACTTTTATTCAATTGGTCAAGAAACCTCGAATTGTTGTCGAAGAAGAAAAAAAATCGTAATTATAGTCAAGCGTTAATTTTAAACTCCTAATTTTCTTAACACTATTACTATTAATTGCAATAACATTTATTTGATCATATTATTACTCTTTAATTTGCAATTAAAGCTTTTATTTATTTTATATCTGTGTCCATTAACCAAATGGAATTATACATTTAAAAAATGCATACAAATATATTATGATTCTTTTGTTCCAATCAAATATTTTTATTAAAATTAAGTATTCTACTGGACAAACTCTTACTCACTTTTTTTAAAATTATCTTAACAAATAACTTAATGAAGTAAAACTATTTACCGGTTAATAAATATTGTTTATATAGAGTCTTATGATATCTATTATATCAACTATAATTATTGGATCTTAAATTTTCATATTTATTATATCTCTGTTTTATAAAACTTTTTTATTAAAATTAAACATAAGAGGTTATTAATTTTAATCGCTTCTTCTCGTAAACACAAGTTTGTAATTATTTCTGACAAATTTCTTCTTTTTCTTTGGTTTTTTAACCTCTTTTAACAATTTCTAAAGCTTCGCCTTATTTAAGTCTTATAATTTTCTTACAGTAGTATTCGCTATACTATAAGCATATTTTTAAGATAATAAAATATTTTTATACTTATTGCAAATTTATCATTATTTTCTGATAAATTGATAAAAATTTAATCCAAGATTTCTTTTTCTCTAGCATCTTCAAGAGTTATCTATAATAAAATGCTATAGTTCGTCGCTTATTTCTGGGAGATTGATTACTGCTATCTTATATATTTATTATAGTATTAAGTCAATATTAGTTTAAGTTTGTATTAAAGAATCTAAAATGAATTTAGTTGGCAATATTAAAACTTTTTCTTTCAATTTGATATCTAAAATAATTCTAAAAAATTTTAAATTTGAAAATTCTGACATACGTTCTGGTTTATTACTTGTTTTATAACTTAAAAAAGCAAATTTAATAGTAAAATTATCTCCATCAATTTAAAATTTAAATTCATTTTGATTTATAATCATTTATTACTTTAAAATTTAAAGACCATGAATTAGAAATTATTCTTTTGAAGTTAATTTTGCATCAGATTGAGATTAAAATTTAATTACTGAATGTGTGCATGTAAATTACAAGTCATAACTTGATTTATCCTGATTGATTTATGATAAAAGTTATTTAGAATAGTTTCTTTTTTTAAATTAAATTAATTTTAGAATTATTTATTAATGTATATGATGCATCGAATAGATAATTAAAGTTTTTATTTATCAGAAAATCTTTTCAAATAGAGTATAATTTAAAAATAAATACAAGCTGTCTCTTTTACCCTGCAATAAGTTTGTGATTCCATTTTCAGATATAAGATTTATTTAATTAAAATGCTCATAAAGTTTGGGAACAGATGTTTCATTACATAATTGAATTTTAATATAAAATAATGTGATTTCTTCTGAAGGACTCATAATTTATGATTAATTACAATGCTCTTAATGAAGATATTCAGAAAAACAAGGCACTTAAATCTAATTCTTTTCAGTCAGTAATAAAAATTACAAGTAAACATTTTAACTTATTATTTTTTTGGATTAATGTAAATAAAGATAGGTTATTTAATTTAGATGATATTCTCATATATATGCCATCAAAGAATTTTCAAATTATTTTGATTTCATTTGCAACTTACTAAAAAATATG